TTTCCACGTTACGGCGTTAATCGACCCCCTCTCTCCAAGGGAAGCTGGTGGGCAGGTTCTATGACGAAGACGGGGCGCCCACAGAAGCCCTGCGGCAGGCGGAGGCGGCGATGGCAGAAGGCCTGAGGCTGAAGGCAGAACGCGACCGGCGGCAGCAGCAGTTCCCCCCCTGCAACTCGGAGTGGAGCTCTGCCAGGGGCAGCCGCTTCTGGTGCTCCAGGCAGAGGTAAACTCGGCTCTCCTGCCATGCTTGGAGCCTGTGGAGCAGAGCAGGGCGCTTCTGCCCCTGTGCTTGGACACCCCGAGCTTTGTCCTAGCAGCAGCGGCATGGGAAGATGTTCTGGCTCCTTCAGGCTCTGTAGTCTTGGGTGAGATCTAGACGGTTCCCCACAGAAGAGCATAGGTTGGTCCTAATCTTTTGAGGGCTGGCATGACTGGTCCCTTTTAAGGACTGGCAGCCCTGGTCCCTTCCCCTGTCTGTGTTCCTGCGGCTGTGCTTTCTGGCAGAGGCAGAGCCAACCTGCGAGGAGCAGCAGTGCTGTTCTCTGCTGTGCCAGGTTTAACCACTGCTGCTGTGTGAACCGAGATTTCCTCTGCTGGTTCAGCAGGAGCTGAAAGCCTCCATGCAGGCAGGAGGAGCACACATGTGCAGGCTTGGCTGGTCAGTGTTTTCAAGCGGGAGGGAGCAGGGAGGAGCTCTGCTCACTGACCTGGTAAGTGGGCACAAGGAAAATAAATTTTCCTCCTGATAGTTGGCACTTCCAGGAAATTTGTTTCTGAGACAAACTGTTGCACTGGAAGCAAAATCATGTTTCAGAAGTTGCCACACGTGCACGTGATCCACCTGTTCTCAGGGAAGCAAGCCAGAAATCCCACTGGGACTGCTGGCAGCACTCAGGCAGGCTTTCTCACCTATCAGGAATCCAAGGATCAGCTCATGTTTTTCAGACTGTTTTGCAGCCCGTCTCACAGGCTATTGCCACAACAGTTTTCTCTTAAAGCTACATTAAAGTGACTTTGAACAGTCATTTCCTACTTGTCATATTTAGTTGTGTACATCCCTCAGTTTAGGGACTGCTTTGTTCTTAGCTGAAATCATGTTGCAGACTGCATTGCAGGGTGCTTGGGCTTCACTTGAAGTACACCAGGTACACAAATACACATTAGCACTGTGTACCTTGGGAGTCTGCTCCTATACATGAATGAGCCTCTTTGCAGTCTCTGGACTGGGTGTTGTGCAGGTGGTCTCTTGTGTAAGAGTTCACTGCATTTTTTTTTAAAACCAGGAGTTAGGGGAACAGGCAGGATTTAGCCTGCGAAAGAGACACTATGAAATACTTGGAGAAATAATTGAGGCTTTCTTTGCTTTTGCCCTAGTTCTCAAAATCAGTGTTCACAGAAGAAGGCATGTGGTCATCTGTGAGCAATTAGCTGCCCCAAAAAAGGCATTTTTCCATTAGACGCCCTGTGCTAAGTAGAGCTATATTCCTTTTCCAGTAATAGAAACAAGGGAAGCAGAAGTTAGTTGCTCCCAGAAGGGTGCGTGTAGCAGCACTGATGAAACCGGGTTCAAGCTGCAGGTTTCTGAAGTGCAGCCAATAACTGGGTATCAGAAGGCAGTGAGATGTTGGGGGCAAAGTCTACCCCAAGAGTACATATTGTTAGTTTGCCTCTCCCAGATGGTCTATCTTTTTTTTTTTTAACCTAGATGATTCTTTATTTACTGGAAACATTTTCATGGTTTTGAATTGGGTGTTTGAATTGTAATCAATTTTAATTTTCTGTTTGTAGTGGGGGAGTGAAGAGAGACTGGATTGGAGTCCCCCGGAAGCTGTACAGCCCTGGTTCGAGGGGGACTCAGTGTGTGTGCGTGAGAACTACCGGGCCCCCTTGGGGACAGCCAGACTCAACGGAGCACAGTGACAGAGGTGACCTGGATAACCCTCACCTGGAGGAATATGATGGCTGCCACCCCCTGGCGGAGCAGTGTGTCCTGGATGTGTGACTGAGTACGGGATCTGAAGGCCGTGGAGTCCTCTGGTAAAATGTTGTACTTGGGGTGAGCGCTTCCAGCTCTGTTCGTTTCCATCTGTGCAAAGGGAGTGATGGCAATTCCATGTTACGTGTCACTTCATGTGGAGATGGGGTTGAAAGAAGGAAGAAACACTTTAGCCAAATCACACTGTTACAGGCTAAAAAAAATCAGCAATTTTTTCTTAGTGTTTTGCTTACAGTATTTTTTACATCTGGTGACAAACCATAGGATGCACAGCCTGAACCATACTTAAAAATGGATTTCTTGTACAGGCAGAAAACAGCTGCTTGTGTGCATGACAGGGAGGGTAACAGTGTTGTGTTTCAGGACAGTAAGGCAGCGAGCACAGGAACTGCTGCAGTAGCACTGGTTCAAGCACAACCACCCGCTGTCACTTGAAATGTGCTCAGTGCATCGTAGTGTTAATGCTCTTTCCCAGTCACCTGCTTTGCTCCAAAGAATTTACAGGTAGGAGGGAAAAGCCTCACTTTCCCCTACAACTGAGGTACGGAGCATCCAGGAGCTGGTGCGGTTGTCACACACCAGCTCCGCTTATCAGACCCTTGGAATATAGGAGGCAAAGGTCAGAGCTGCATTTCCTCATTTGGTATTTGTATTAGATAGGGAGCAAAGAAGATATTGAAGCCACCTATGAGGATTGCTGCTTTAAATTAACCTCACCACCCTGACCCTCTCATTCACTGCTTTTAAACTTCAGGAATTGGTAGTTCGAACTAGGCAATAATAAAAGCTGTGTAGCAACATGACCCTCCTGCTGTAATTTGCCTCCTGTTTCCATCTTGGTTTATAATCTCCAATTTATGTGTCCATCAGACTATAACCTTGATGTATCCTCACGAGGCACAGCTCCCTTAAAGGCTGCCCATATTTTATGAGATCTGGCAGAATTCAGTTAACCAGTTACTCCCAGGAGAGCAAGTCAAATCATCACAACTTTGTGCAGGGCTAAGGATGAGGGGACCTTGGTGCTGTTAACACAGACTGGGGGGAGGCAGTGGCTGTTTACTGATGGAATGGGTTGGTGGTGGAGCTGCAGGAGAGGCACGCAGGTTACCTACAAACCCACAAAAATCTCTGCTGTATTCAGCTCTTTCTCCTCAAGGCAACTCAACACTTATTTATAAACAGCTGGGAGGCATTTATAAATTAATTCCATTTTGAGCTGCCACTACCCCTAAGGAAAATCTCACACATTCAAGTAATTAGTTAGTAAAGTATTGGGAGTATGGGAGGCTGAGCAACATTTCTTAAAAGCAAGAATAATCATTGCAGTGACAGCAGGAACATGTTACAATACTTTTTACCTGTTGTGTTTAACGAGGCTACAGCTGTCATGGATGAGAACCATACAGCAATCTAAACATGTACATACTTGATTGTAATAAATGTTTGTTTTTTTAAACCTGGTTCTGTTGTGTTTCTTTTCCTACCACCATTTTTAAGATAAGTCCTCTGTGGCTCTTTCAGGATGATGTGCAAGCTCTTACTGCTTGTCACTGGCATGTCTAGGTTGGGGCAGCAGAGCCATCGCACTGGTCAAGTCCTCAGTCATCCTCCACAACTCAAGTGCTGCCTTGGGCTTAAGCCATCTGTGGGAGTGGACTGGGCAACTTCATGTAGCAAACCTGAAGGCACTAAAAGTGTGTGAAAGCTGCAGGAAGGACTGCAGAGCAGTGCTGCTTTGTCTCAGCTCGGTGGGAGCACTATAAAGGTCAGCATGGTATTTGGTTTGGGACACGTGCCTTCGCAGCAACAACTTGCTTTTAAAGGTCAGCAACACAACTGACCTCAAACCACCCTCAAGAATTCATTCAGGTTACAACTGAAGCAAGTGACAAGCGTCTTTTGAAAACACCTCCATAAATTTAAGAGATGCTAAAGTATTAAATATTAAAATCAGTAGGATTTTAAGTGCAAATCACTTTCACAAGCTGGAGTCCCAGTAAAGGTACCAGCTCTGTGGCTTCTTAGCAAGTTTCATCATGCGTAGCTGAGACTGCTCTTATTCTTCAGTAAATAGCACTGAACTGCTGAGGGGAAGGAACTGATCTTAACAGTTACACAAAAATAAGTAAGGCAAGACTGATTTTTAGGAATTGTGTTAGTGTTGCTTTAACTTCCAACATATTTGTCAACCAACTTGAAAAATAATTCAAAGCTCACTCCTCAGTTTAGCTGGAACCACTAGAGGAAAAAATTTGTCTTCTACCGGGAATAAGTCATCTATTAAAGCAAACAAGGAGACTCCCTTACTGACCTGAAGTGCTCCAAGATTATCTTATTTCTACTATTCTAATTCAAAAGCTGAGCTAAACTCTCCCGGGGGAGGGAGTTACACAGGGTCAAGTAAATGGAGACAACGCTTAATAAAGCTCACAACACCTGTATTAGCTGTACTTAAGTGTGTTTTTTTTTTTTTTTTATTAATAAGACTAATGCATCACAACCTCAGAATGTTTTGGTTGGTCTTGCTACTGCTACTTTCCTTTTTCTGGAGCAAAGCGATAGCAATTGCATGCTCTGAGAAAGAGGAGGTGCCTGCCAGTTCTTGACTGAACGCCCAAACAAATGCTGCTTAGGAGGCAGCTTGGCTCAGCGTGTCCATTTAAGTGCATCTGGGCTGAGCAGCTCAGTCAGCAGAACAGCTCTGGCCTGTAGGAAGTTGGGATTGTTTTAAGGATTATAGGTATGTCTTCTATAAGGCATTCAAGATGACTTACATGGTATAAACTAGGAGAACACCAGACCTCAGTCAGCCAGAAGGACACTGTAGCAGCTAAACAGCATGGAAATAAATACCTAGAATAACTTCAGAACAGAGAATAAGTTGTTATGCCTGATCAGGTATTGTATCTCTAGCTTTCCTCGTGGGTTGTCAGCCTCAGTAACCATAGCATGGGGCGGGGCAGCTGTCTCTACAAGAGAAAATACTTTCTTAGCAAGGTTTCCACCTCATGATGCATTATCTAAGTATGCATTTTATTACAAGTAGAATCATTACACAACAAAGTAATGCATATTGGAAAAATACATTTTTACAAGTGACTCCAGACAAACATTGCAGATAAAATGCCATTGTTCTAAGACTTCCTTTTCTATTCAACAGAGGGTATTAGAAGGTTCGGTTACTTTTTAATCACTTATACATGCTTTGATTGAACGGAGTTTGCTGCAGTATTCAACTCTGCTGGTTAAAGGAAAAAAAAAGGAGTTGCCTACTAACATTTGATCTACAAGAAAAAAAATCCAGCCATGGCCTCCCTTGTTGTTAGGTGTTAATTTATAAGCACTATGTGAGAAGTTGTACAAGCCATTGATCTCCAGCACAGGAAGTCATTAAGGCATCTGTCAGCTTTTAGCAAGCAACTCGCCACGCTCTGTTAGTACCTTTAACACTAACATTCTCACTCCACTTAGTGGTGTGAAACAGTGATTACGCCTTCCTCAGATAGATACACAAATTAAAATTTAAGCCAGACCACATTTTGTGCTTGTATAAAAGTGCTGGATGACTACAATCAAAAGGAATCCAGACTCGGAACAAAAAGCTACATTAGGAACTACCACAGACTTTCCATCTAGCCCTGTTGAAGTGCCTTAAGCCTGGTTTGACAGCATCACTTTCCAGGGACAGAAAGTTTGTTTTCTTTATACCCTTTTGTTCAATGCTTGGCAGACTCAAGTCTCAAGTTATAAGACACCGCTTAAAGACAGCGGGGATAAGAGGGGTGGGGTTTTTGGTCACAACTGCAGTATGCTACAAAAAGGAAGTGCATTTGCTTATGGAGCTAGAAATGTGTTGACCACTACTAAATTACCAAGTGCCTCCATTCACATCTGTACTCTGCAGTGGAGCATTGCCAGCAAAACTCCAAAAAGAATCTCAGAGATCTGAGCTTCGGACCAATACTTGGCAGACTGCATAAAGGACTGACCCCACCGGTTGTTTGGCAGGGTCAGTCTCTTTAGCTGGTTAGAACTAGAAGAAGAAAACTAAAATGGGGTTTTGGTTCAAGTTGTGAGGCTTTTCCCCCTTAACTATGACAGAAAGCAAGCTATTGAGAATTGGCTGTAAGGAAACTATCACAAAGGCACTTTAAAAATGATCAGATTTGCTGGATTTAGTTGCTTTGAAATTGATGAATGCTTCAGGCTGTCTATTAGCTTATCAATAACCGTAACTTTCCTTGCAGACTTCGGTAAGAAAGATAAAGCTAGCAGAATATTGGCTGGAAAGGACAAATGGAGCATTAAGTACAGTTTCCCAGATCCTCGTCAAAGTTTCAAGCAGTCTTATTTCATATTCTACATTTAAAAAGATCAACCAGCCAGCCTTCAAGACACACTCAGTTAAGCTGAATCTTCACAAGATCTGCATTTTTAAAAACATTTAAAAGGCTATTTAATCTGTTGGAATAGAGCCACTGTTCCCTTGAACCTTCCATCAAGGAAGTCGCTGAAAAGGTCAAATTTAAGTGCTTTAGCAATTTCGCATTGTGCAGCTTTCCAATTAAGTTCAAGTCCATCAGCTGCAGCCCTGGAAGAATGCTCCTCTATCACTATGTTCAGTCTTTCAGTCACTTACTACTTCACAGCATCGCAGCTCCAAGCCAGGAAGGAAGTTAACGTGTTATCATGGGATGTGCTATAGCCAAGAATTCTGAGGCCTACCACACTCTATCCATCACTATCTTTCATTGCTAGAGACTTGCAGTCAATGGTATTTTGAAACACGGAAAGACATGGACTAGAAGTACAATCTTTTCCACAATCTATTCCACTCAAAAAAAAAAAAAAACAAGCTTTAGCTTGCAGTTTAATGCTTCAGACACCATTATTTACCATCTCATTCATCTCAGCCTAAAATGCAGTTGACAACAAAATGACAGATGCATCATTTATATTAGGATTTGTGTTACATAGACCAGTTGCATTACCCAGGGCGTTCTATTGGAACATGCCAGCAGCAGACATAAAACAGTGAGGCAAATTTGTATTGCATCATCCATTAGTCTTTTCTAGTGTTACAAGAGTGAGATTCCAGTTACAATATCTGCATATTGGAAGATTGAAGTGCGGATCAAATGAAGTTGATGTGAAATTCATTGTGCAAATGACAGTGTTTATACCCTTTCCCATCATTTTTTGTACAAGTTTGAGAAAAACCCTCAGGCAAGTCTCCTATAAAAGCAGCAGTCTGGTTTATCATCATCTCATCTTACTCTTAAGACTGACAAGTCTGTATTCCAAACAGAGCAATGTGTCATCATCTTTTCCATACTGCACACCTCATGTGCCAGTCCATAAGTAAACGTACCAGTTCATGGAACAGAGATGAGGAATGACAAGTTGAGTCTAAACTAGATTTATCTCTTGGGATGAAAAAAAAAAACCTTAACATGCCATGTACTTTTGCTTAAGCACACATTTTCTTCTGACAAGCCTTTGCCCACCAAACCACAACCCTGTTTATCAGCAAAGTGATTTCCTGTTTACCTAGAAAATGTGGTGTAGGAGTTTCAGATTCAGCATGTTTAAGAGAACATGACCAGCTTCGATTAAAACACTGCAACTTAATCCAGAATTCTTCCTTCAAGGCCAGAGGCTTTATGTTAATAGGAAACCTCCAAATATGCTCCCACTTGCTGGCAACCCTGCTGAGACTGAACCCAAATTTAATGCTTAAAGGTGCAGCACATTCTACACTGGTAGGGTTATTGGCTCTTCTGCAGCAGTTAACCAGGGTCTTTAAACCAAAGGAAAGTGCTACTCTCCCTCACGGGATTCATAATGCACTTCAGCATTTATTGCTGTATTGCGAGTTAGATTACTCAACCAGTTTTAGTGTTTCTCCATTTAGCATAAGCTTAGGCCTTTCAGCACATTTAAGGTCATTCACACAAGTTTTATGACTTGGAAGGACTAGCAAGGTAGATATGAAAGTGCAACAAAGTAGGCTCTGACAGCTCTAGCAGGTACGAGCAAGAGTATTTACTGGTTAAACAATCTTGCACTTCTCTTGAACATGCTAACACTAATGAGGAGGTATCAAGACGTGGATCTGCAATTCTGACTGCTTTGCATCAGATGTTGTAAAGCTTTCTGTTGTAAGGCCACAATTCTTGAGCTATGCTTAGAACTAACTCCCATTTCTGAAGTTTCTTGAAATGAACAGTGGTTGTAACAGCTCAGCCTAGCTTCACAAGAAGTCTTCTCTAGAGAAAGGGAACGTTAATCTTTAAGACAAAGCAAAGAAAGATACCTGGTTACCCTGAAACTTAATGCCATCTCTACTAAGCAGCCTGAAAGCAACAGGACTTAATAGAGTTGCTCAGTGCAAAGCACCATATCAAGGACAGACCTGTTTTATGTCAACTCAAACACCAGCCTTACATTTCAGCTTCCATACCCCACTGCAACTAGAAGAGGGTCTAAATTCTCTTGTCACTTGGTTTCAACAATCCACTCGAATTCCTAGTGAAGTCTATCACAGCCCAATACATTTACAGTCATACAAAGTCATTTATACCAGAATATATCATAACAGGGTCCTTAATTAGTTGAGTCTATTGCAGAAGACATGTATAGGCCTCCTCTTCCCTATCCAGAGGGCTTGTAAGCACAGCTGCTGTCAGGAGAACTGACCAGGAATCCCTTTGCTTCCACAGCATACTAGGAAACTCCTCCCAGAGTCAGGACATCAAAGCAGATGTTGCAAACTCGAACTGGCTTGTTCAGATCAAATTTTATGATAGGAATCTCCTTTGTTGAGCACTTATGGCAGAGCAGGCGTCCACAGTGTCGGCTGTTGAAAGAAGAGGGGTAGGAGAGAAGTGAGCTCTCCTTGCAGTAAACACCAGGGTTTTATTGCTTGATATCCTTTATCAATGACAGCATCATTAAAAAGGTAGAGTAGCGAGTGAAATGATGTTTTTGTCACCTCTTTCAGAGCAAGTCAGCCCCACTAATGAAAATAGGCATTGAAGTCATCTATTCTATTACAGGAACTTTGACATGACTTCTAATTTCCAGCAAATCAAGAATATTTTAAATGCACAAACTGCTTAAGATATGACTTAAGCCAAAGCACAAGCTAGACCCAAGTTAACTAAATTAGGGTGGAATATCTCAACTGGATTACTGGTTATACACCTACATGAAGATGAAGGCTTTCTAAAGCACCAGAAGGAACAAGCCTAGCAACATTTGGAATGGGAATCTGTTTCCTTGTAAGCACAGTAAGATGTGTCACACATTACCAGTGATGCTTTCTTGTTGTGACTCCAAATTTGGCAGTGCATTCGTAGCAGTTGGAGCCATCACACCAGGGAGGTTCTTTTGTCAGCATATCTGTTAAGAGGTAAAAACGTAAAGACAAAATGGGCTCTGACACCTCCCAAGTATACTGTAAGATTAAGGGGAAATTTCCCACAGCTTTAGGTAATACTCAGTATAATTGATTCACTTGCAGTAGCTGCCATCTTGTTTGTTGAAGATGTATAGTCACTGCGATGAATACAGTACAAGTTATAAAGCAGCATCTAGCTTTAAGCTACATTTCACTACTATACCAGCCAGCATTCCCCGTGAACACTGCTTCATTTTTCCGGAAGGATGGAGAAGTCTGACAGGGCTGCACTGGACAATTTCTCAGTTTATCGTTAGAAAATGAGTATTTCTACCTCTCATTTAAGCACTAGAATACTCAGAAGTTCAGCCTGTCTGGAATTAGTGTCATCTAAATCATCTGTCCAGAGTTCTTTTTCTTTATCTAGGAATCTCAGAATCGTAAGCTAAACCACCTTCCAACCATAGCAAGCAGTACTTACCCAGTAATCTAAAAAGAAGCTGTTTTGTAGCAACTTGGTAGTTGAAGATATTTACTCCCTGATTATTGTTAACTCCAAGACGAGCCCCAGCTCTCACTATTGCACGGCACAAGTTAGCATTTCCCTTCATATAAGCCAAGAGAAGCACTGAAAAAAATAAAAGCCAGGCATGTCAGAGCTAATGGAGTGGAGATAGTGTTATTTTACTTAGTCCAGAACAGGAGAGTTTCAGTGCAATGTTTGCATCTTTCTGTATTTAACATACTACTGCCAACTAGTGCAGCTTTAAAATGACATACCAGTAATATGACTTGAGTGACTTTCAAGCTTAATAGCCGTTCAGTCACACCTACCTGTGTTTCCTTCAGCATCAGGTTTGTCTAGAGGGTATTCTGGCATGCACTCCAAGAAGAGGTCACAGATAGCTGCTGCGTTATCTTTTCCGTATTGTCCCAAAATATGCATTGGTGATTGGCCTCTGGGGAGAGGAGTTTATTATCTCAATCAAAGTCTGTTTGCAACTACAGTTGCTCATCCAACTAGCCATCATCTTTTACAAACTGGTTCACACTTAAACAATGCTACACCTCACATATATAAACCTCAGAACCTCATATACAGCTGCCTACTTTATGCATGCCAAGAAGGAGTTAATATCTATACTGTTTACACACAGCATTGTCTGTGCACTTCACTGTGAAAGTGGTGTACAAATAAAAAAAAAAACAAAACATTTGGCTTTGGTTATAGAATCGTAATATCCTGAGTTGGAAGGGACCCACAAGGATCAGCGTCCAACTCCTGGCTCCACACAGGACTTCCTAAAATGTAAACTGTATGTCTGAGGGCATTGTCCAAATGCTTCTTGAACTCTGGCAGGCTTGGTGCTATGACCACTTCCCTGGGGAGCCCTGTTTCAGTGCCCAAACTGTGAGGAAGCTTTTTCTAATATCCAACCCAACCCACCCCTGTCCCAGCTCCACACCGTTCCCTCGGGTTCTGTCGCTGTCCCCTGAGAGCAGAGCTCAGCGCCTGCCCCTCCGCTCCTCTCGTGAGGGAGCTGCAGGCTGTCATGAGTCTCCTTTTCTGTAAGTTGAACAAACCAAGGGACCTCAGCTCTTCCTCATACGTCTTGCCCTCTAGATCCTTCACCATCTTTCTTGCCCTTTCAGACACTCTCTAGTAGTTTTATGTCTTTCTCATGCTGTGGTACCCAAAATTGCATGCAGTACTTGAGTAAAACAATCACTTCCCTCAATCAGCTCACTATGCTATATAGTATCCACTCACACCAGCACACATTTTAATTAAATCATTCTTTTAGCCTATTAAGACTACAGTAGTTACCTAACATTAAAGGCTTCAGCATCTACATTGCACTCTGTGAGGAGGACCCGGATATTGTTTAGGCGGCCGTGCATCACTGCCAGATGAAGAGCTGAAAAGTAGAAGAGAAGCTTCAAGAATTTGAGTAGTTCATGTCAGCAGTAATTACACCCTGATAAAATGATGTGGTCCCTTTCTACTTCCCCACCTCCCCTCTCCAAAGCTCCTTCCACCAGCTTTGATTTCTTGGATTTTCCTTTTAATCTTTAAGAAGTGATCCCATTCAATGGGCTCTTTCTACCAGCAGGAGACATTAGTAGCAGCGCTACTGAAGTTTTGTACATCTACTTGTGAAACTTTAGAAGTTTACCATTGTTTCCATTTTCATCTACAGCTGCAAAGTCTACTCCATTCTCCAGAAGGACTGAACAAATTGTGGGCAAATCTTGCTGAGCTGCTAAGTGAAGAGCAGTCTGACGATGCTTTGTCAGTTCATTCACCTGGGCACCTGCAAGCAGCTGTCAAGATGCAAGAAGGAATACGTTCAATGTTTTCCAGGGCTATGAGCCAACATTTTCTTTCTGAATGAAGCCCACAAGACTTCACTGCACAGAAATATTTCTAGGCCTCCACCCAATATACACAAAAAAAATATACACTGAGCTGCCGCATCTTGTGTACACGTTCTGATCTGCAGCAAGTTTAAAGTAAGGTTCCTGCTTTATACTGAGCCACATCAGTGACTGCTGTAAATCAAATGTATTCATACAAAAGCCACTGATGCAGCTCAGCTGACAATCTGAGCCAAGCTAACTTTATGCAAGACAGAGTCCTGCTTCAGAAGTAGCACCACCCTCAGCTGACTTCTCCAGCCTATAAGCAATCTGCATTAAAGCAGAATATGTATTTCTAAGCAGAAGGGAACAGTGATTCTCCAGTACATACCAAATTACGCACAATGATCTCTGAGCCGGCTTGTACAGCCAGGTGGAGAGGTGTGAGTTTGGATGCATCCTGGACGCGAGAATTTACATTAGCGTGTACACTTATCAGGAACAGCACACTCTCAATGTCAGAGTTCTGAACAGCTACGTGCAGAAAATTTCGGCCTTTGTTATCCACCTGTGGCAAAGAGGACAAAACAAAACCCCTGTTATTTCTGTAGAACAGCAAAGAGTTATGCACAGAGCACATTTCTACCAAGACTGTACAATACTTACTCCCTCTACCTGATGTAAACTGTACTCCTGTTCCTTTTGCTGCTTGGCATTAGAGACTTACTTATGTCACTAGCAAACACACTGAACTAAGAAATTATCAGCTGCATGGGCTCACTCTAGTACTCTAGTCTGCTTCAAACCCCTTTATTTCTAGTTTAACCTTGTCATTTCTTGACAACACACTGGAGAGTATTACAAGCAGCTTTTGTAGCTATTTTGTAGCTATTAGCTTTTGTACTAAGTATGGAGCAACAGTTGATGATAAACTCAATTAAATGAGACAAACTTCAGTCAATCTGGCAGTTACCACAGAAGGAAGCAACACACAATTCTGCCACACTAATGCAAAATATGCTCTTTTTTTGGCTAAATGCCAAGGGCATGCTGTTCATCTTTGTCCTGAGCTGATGTTAAGGCATATTCAGAACTGGCTGTGTATGTGATACATCTGAAACATGGATACAAGAGCTCCCTAAGCACTCTAGTAATCACTAGTAATTAAACTTACAGTGTAGGAAGAAATTCCTGAACAGCTGCCTGAAGTGTCACACTAGAAGTCTGAAGTCTGGAGGTTTTCCAGTTCATCAGTGCAATGTTAACACATATTATTCAATTATTACAGGACAGTTTGTTTTGGATAGCTTTATAACAGCTAGGTCATACATTGTGATGTGCTATTACAGAAACAAGACATGCGAGTAGTTAGAACTTTCTCCTCATATTCCTCTGCCTGTACCTCAGTTTAGTACTGACACGGTTTGATGAAACACTAACCCTCAACGTTCTCACTCGCACATAGCATGTGCCTATCTAGTTTCCTAATAAATCCTGCCATAGAAAATTGAAGTTTGGCAAACATTGTGACATATAAAGCCACAAAATACAGCAAAACTTGCTTGTGGAGTGCCTGTCACTGTAGACTTGTACAGCAAGAAGACCAGTATGCTTTAAATGCTCCCAGTTTACCTGTTCAGCAGCTCCTGGCTCCCTCTTCAAAATTGCTTCAGCCGCCTTGTTATTTTTATACGTCATCGCACATGCAAAGGGAGTCATTCCTTGTCTGTCACGCACATTTAGCTTAATTTCTGGATGTGAAATCATAAGCTGAATTATAACATTATGTTGATTGCTAATGGCGACATGGATTGGAGTTCTTCCTTCTGCATCCTAGAAGGAGACCATGAAGTTTATTACATGAAGATGCAGCAATAAACAAATCTTTCTCATGTCTGAAAAACAAAGGAAGCTTTTTGCTTAGTTCTTGTGACCTACCCAGTAGCCTTCAGCTGGGACAGAAAGCACTTGCAATGGGAGCTCACATCCACAATGTGAGGCAAATTGGTATTTGCTCCTCCAAATAGGCTGACCTCAATCCTCTGTGTTATATAGCCTTTTAAGTAGCTCAGGGTAACATTTCCCATGCAGCCAGACATTTTGGGGGCAGAGATGAGCATACATTCATGACAGTAGGCAAGCATTCTAAAAGAATGCTTTAAACTAATATTAGTTATTTTTATGTTAACACCTGATATTATTAAAATTTTGTAGATTTTATTTTTAACTGAAAGAACAATGTACAAAAATAGTATTCAAATCTGTCGTATCATTTCCATACATTCATCAGATATTTCCCTGGCTTGACTCTCAGGCACTTGTGCTAAGTTTTCTGAAAGAAGCTTGACACTTGGAAGTTCACCCACTGAAAAATGTTAAGTGTTCGGCATGTTTGTTATGCAAACAGTACAGTCTATCAAATTCAAATAAGGCCTTTAATCATTTGCATCAAGAAAGAGTTTACAGCCACAGCAGCTTTGTGACTGTTCTGTTGCTCTTTAATGCCGCTTTCAACAGCATCAGCACCTGGAAATGCTACACATTTATTTCTTTTGTTGCAATTTGTCTAGCTTCTATTTAAGGACTACTGTATGATCAAGAATTCTGAAGCGTAGCTCACAATTGATTCACCTTGGTTTATGTGATAGCAGGAAATGCTTCCCAGATAAACTAACAGTCCAATATTCTGGAGTTTTACACTACAGCTGATCTAATGACCAGTTGCTGCAGCATACAGCCCTACTCCTACCCTTCGTTCACACTAAGAACAGAAGAGTCTAACTTGGATCATTACAACACCAAAAAAAACCCAAAACCTTAGCACTACAAGAAGTTTTTTATATCACTGTTTTCCTTCACTATGGCTTCCTGAAGGAACCATACATGTGGACAGATGACTACCAGACCTGGTAACAAGGGACAGGAAAAAAGCAGAACTGCAGCCAGTCCTTGCACTAGCTCAGTCATAGCAGTAGGCTGTTCTTTGTCTATGAAGCAAAATACACAGGTAAGGGAGATTTGTTTTCACTGTTTTGAAGTTAGAGAACCAGCTTCAAAGAAACTGCACCATTTTAATACGTACCTGAGCATTGACATTGGCACCAAACTCCAAAAGGCACTGGATCACTTCTTCTAGACCCCAGCAGGCTGCCAGGTGTAGGGGCGTCTGTCCATCATGAGCTTCTTCTTCTCCCTCTCCATTAGGGCCTGGCTTTCTGGGACTGTTCACATCACAGCCACTAAGAAAAGCACAACACAGTCAATTTAATAAATTTCATCTTGACTTAAACAGTTACAAACAAAGGTCAGAGAAAGGTTTCCACAAGGGCTGATTCAGCATCTGCTAACACATCCTATATAAACACAAACTCCTACTTTTAATTTGACTCATCATCAAGAACATGACAATTTAGATAATAGAATGTGTCGGTGTCTTCAATATTAGTCAGGATTCCATAAGTGCCATTCACTCACCAAAAGTCTAATGAAGCACACACCTGTTACTGACTCAAAATAGCATTCAATTACATTAGGAAAATAAGTACAAGCACATTAGAAAGTTTGCATTTGGGAGGGGGAGGGGAAGGGTAGGGAGTGTCTGACCTGCGAATAAGAAAGCACGCTATTTGTTCACTGTTTTCATCAATAGCTCTATGAAGAAGAGTTTGTAAGCATCCACTCGGTCCTGATCCCCAGCAGGTGGAATCACAGCCATGTCTAACCTGGAAGGAAAAGCACAATGAAGCAAGTGAAGTTTTCAATATGAAGTAGTAGGAGTCTGCTGGAGATAACATTTATTAGGAGTCATAAGGAAGTTTGATTAAGTTTCCTCCTGGATTACATCTGAATAGAACCTAATTTTAAAAGGAATAAGGGAGAGCCTCTAAAGGCCTTGATGAAACTTTAAGATGCAATAAAATCCAGGTTCGTAGATGTTCCGTTTTACTCAAGAAGCTGGTCGTTACACAAGCCAGGCATGCTACAGCCTGATGCTTTTGGTAAATCCTTTTATCTGTTTTGCAGCATCAGGAATCCAGATGGCTTATTCTATGTTATTATAGTGGCTGTGAGGTATTTGGGTACGTAAGCTACAGTGTTTATAAAAGATTACCCGAAAAAAAGGAACTTCTGGTGAAGGAAAACCTCTAGAAGTTAAATAGTGTAGGACTACTCTGTTCTTTTCAGGCATTTGAATTCATTTCTGCTGGTGAGACCTTTGCCACTAGTGAGATACTCAAAGAACACGACTAAATTAAGTCAACTAACAGTCTTACCAGAGTTGACGCAATATCTTCCAGGTTATTTTCTAAGGCAAGCCACAAAGGAGGATTTCCTTTTTCATCTGGCACAGACATATCTGCTCCCCTGGTACAAATAGCATCAACCACAAGAGGGAGCTGGTTTTTTATAGCTAGCTGTAATGCAGTTTCTCCATCCTGTGTTCTGCAATAGGTATAGTTTAAAGCATGTTACTACTCCATTAAAGAGTTAGATCTCTGTTACAGTAAGTTCTCGGCTATTCCAGTAAATATCTCCACATTTTTATTTTTGCTGTGGTAATATGTTTAGTCAGGCAAACCTACCATGTTAGGTTTTCACTGCAGCTATGTAGTTTACCTTTTTTTCCCCCTTTAATAGCAAAGGAGTGACTTCTAAAGTTTGAGAATCGTGTTAAGGTTCTTGGTCCAGAGTTACCTCCCTTTCCTTAATTACAGCCATTGTTTGAACAGAGTTCCCTTTACCTAACATCACAGAACGTAACATGTTTATCTGCACTGTGGTAACACTTCAAATGGTTGAGAGATACCAACCGTTGAAGAACTGAAGTTAGTTAGCCCTATTAGGCAGTTTGTCCCCTTGACACTCATTAGGCATAGCTAGCCAAATTTCAAAGACTGCCTGTCAGTCATGTAAGCACATAAACATTTTGTTAAGTCTAGTATCAGTTGTCTAGAGATACTCATGAGACTATTTCTATCTGAACTTTGTTGTTGGGACTACATCTAATCAGTTTAGACAGCAGAACACATGCGGCTCCAACAAGCTGGCAAATAGATGAGACTACAGTATGAGCAGATAGTATAGATCAGACAGTACCATGGCTCTAGGAATTGAGTCTGTTACAGAAGATTGTAGTCTACCTAGAGCCAAATTTCCCTCTGCAGCTTCAACTGGACTGATGGAGCTGTATGTAGATCCATGTTCACATAGGTTCCCCAGCATTAACTAGTGCCATAAAAAGGGTCATATCCAGAACTGTGCACAAACCATGATTTGATAACAATTTCAAGCCTCTATATACAATCTTAGAATATCCTGATTTGGAAGGGACCCACAACAATCATCAAGTCCAACTCCTGGCTCCGCACAGGACCACCCAAAGACCAAACCATATGTCTGAGAACATTGTCCAAACACTTTTTGACCTCCAGCAGGCTTGGTGCCCTGACCACTTCCTGGGGCAGCCTGTTCCAGTGCCCAACCACCCACTGGTGAAGGACCTTTTCCTAGTGTCCAGTCTGAACCTCCCTTGACATAGCTTCATGCTGTTCTCTTGGGTCCTATCGCGAGTCAGCATGGAGAAGACAGCAGCATCTCCCCTTTTGCTCCTTCTCGTGAGCAAGGCAGTCATCACACCTGCTGCTAAATACATACCCTGTTCAGTGTTGTATCAGTTAAGATCTTACCTGACATTTATATCTGCCTGATGTTCCAGCAGGAAGAGTGCACTCTTACTATCTTGTCTCTGTATTGCCATATGTAGTAGAGTCTGTCCGTCTGACATCGTGTCATTGATGGATGCCCCAGATCCAAGCAGCTGAGCTGCTATCGTGTGCATGCCTGAAGAGTTTCAGCTCATTAGTATTTTGCCTTCAGTTCTATAAAACAGACACCCTCTGAAGCATAAAAAATAAAACTTCAAGCTTTCGGTTTCAATAATTACAAAAAAGTGATGTATTGAATTAGCGTAGAGCCTACTAAAATACACACACATGAGCTAAGCCAACTCATGACTCTACCCAGCTTAAAAATGCATTTACAGACCTGTCAAATACTGGTTACTGACTCCTTTTGGCCTTGCTTTAAGAAAAAAGTTATGGTATGATACACAGCAGATTCCCCATTAGTTTTGCCAACCTAAATTTAATATGGTCCTTCACGACCACACCTAGCCTAATACTTCATACCATCTCAGACTTTTGTCCAGCAATCATATTAGCTTTTAGTATTATGTTCATAAGCCATTCACATGAATATCATTGTATTTAGATATTTAGCTTAGTCCTTCCTTACCTCACAGGTGGATCAGGACAATGGTAAGGATAAAGATATGTTTGTTTCCTTTCATTGGAAATGGAAAAAAAAAAACAAGAGCCTTGAGAGTAAAGATGTTTGTTACACATGGACGACATCTAGTACTTCTGTGCAAAGCACTTCATTAAGCTTTCTGCCTCATCTCTTAAGCCCAAGATATGAGCAGGCATTCCCCACACAGCTACTGTCTCCAGCTCAGTAGGACCACACTGATCCAGTGGTAACCACACAACCACTCTCTTATGGGCATAACCTGGTATGGTAGAAGCACCACTTGCCTGCAAACATCTGTTTTTCCACAAAACATTCCCCTTCACATTTCAGAGAAGAAAATCCTGAAGCGGTATTCCAAGTTCCATTCCACTTCACAGCTACTTAACGTAGCTCACCTTCCCTTAGTGCTAGAAGCTGGATAATACAGTAATGTTGACCTTTACAGAGTTAACCGTGAAGAGACAACATAAATGGATACAAATGAAAACCACCAAAAGTTCGCAGTGGTACAATTCTACACAACTTCAAGTGCAGTTGTATGCAAGAGGCTTCAGGCTATCCCCTGCTGAACAAGTGAAGCTGTATGGCTGGAAATCTATTGGCAAGCCAGATGTGAACATCATTTTAGAAGCTAAACAATCATCTAAAGCTCTCCTTGACAGCTTTTCATTAGCAGCACAAGCCAGGCCATGAATACACAACAACCACTGGCTTGTCCCAAAAATCTCACTCACATCATAGCTCCTTCATCATAGTAAAGTTTATTTATCTTGTTCGATAGGCACATACCTGTCCAAAGAGCCAATCCCAGCACAGTCTGGTCCCTCGAGTCCTTTAGACTAAAGTCAGGAATGATTTGCAAGTTATTGGTAGCATGAAGAGCATTAGCTAGGAAAAAAAAAAATCATTCCATTAGAGCATTCTTGTATTTGACCTGCAGTTGCAGACTGAAGGTTGCAGGAGTAGCAGTGTCAAATTTTGAAGTGCCATAGAATCATTTAAGTTGGAAAAGACCTTTAAGGTCATCAAGTCTAACCAACCACCTAACACTAGAAGTCCACTGCTAAACCATTTCCCTAAAAGCAGAATGTTCTTTTAGTCAGTCATCTTGAAAGATCTCTTCCTGAGCAAGTTACTTTCAATTTCCTAGGTGCTAATGTTGCTTGTGAAGACCAATTCTACCTAATCTTAACACTTATACTAAAAACCATCCAACACTCTGACTAAGATGCTTAACCTGCTTCCCTTGCTATCTGTTTCTAAACAGCCACTTACCCAAAGCTCTGAGAATGAAGACCTCACTGTAAGCTATACTGCAATATGGTGGCAGCATCCCTCCTTCTCAGCTCCCTGGGATGGAGGATATTCTCCCCAGTTCACCTATTCTCTCCAAATGCCATCTCTGGTAGGAGATAAAATTAATAGCTGAAGCAAGATCTATTTCACTTCCTGCATCTAACAAATACCCCAGGTCCCTTAAGTGAAGAACTGTCATCTACCAGTTTTTCAGTATTTGCAACTCAACTCTGTCTCAGTTCTAGTACTACTCTGTACAAAACCATCTTACTGAGAATTGAAGGAGGCAGAAGTCTCACCACAGAAAGATGCCTTTATCTGTATTCAATTCCTGCATTTACCTGAACCATATACTTGGACAAGGAGAGAAAGGGAATCTCAGTTGTACAGTCAGAATGCAACCTGGGGCTAAAATTCAAGTCCATTATGTACAGTGGAAAGTTTGGAGAGATCAGTAATAGAGACTATTTAGAGTAAGTTAATTTTCTAGTCTCAACAAGCAGGCGATTTGAGTTTTAAGACAACTGTTTAACCAGTCTTGTTAATTGTTCTACTTAAACAAGGTTTACAGGAAAGCATGTTTGATTAGTAACTTGTCGAAACACAGTTTAGATGGCATCTTGACATACCAATCCACTAAAGCATCAATATAGTTTGAACTAGTAAAACTTTACCTTTTTGTTCCAGGATGACTGATACCACATCTGGGTGATTGTGAGCAATAGCCATGTGAAGGGGAGTTTGCAGATAAACATTCTCTGCTGTTGGAGAAGACGCATCCTTCTGACCATGCGCTGCTTCAGCAGTCTGGATGTTTGGATTGGCTCCTTGTTGCAGAAGTTCTGCTGTCAGGTTTGCTAGGCCATGCCTACAGGCAGTATGCAGTGGTGTTTCTCCCTTAAACAAACGGGGGACAAGGTTAACAGCTTGAGAAACCAGAAAGATAGCTTTTCAGCTACTATGCCCACAAATGGGTATGAAAAAACTTAAGCACTAGTAGTTGAAGCTTTTTCGGACCTTCAGCTACACGAGTTAACGTATACTAAGGATTTTATTACAACAAGCATTGAAGAAAGTTAAACTTGCAGTGCTGCTAGAACAGTGCTAGAACTGTTATACTACAGTTGTCTGATCACTAGTAAATACCTGAAAACCTGCAGAAGGCTCAGCAGATGTTTAAACGTGCTTTAAGCTAGGGTTAGCAACAAAGATCTCTGCCATCTTATTTCTGAAAGGAAATAAGGGAATTTTCAGACAGTCTAGAAGTTTCTGTTTTTACCCATTTGTTTTGGTGGTTGACTTTCGCTCCATGAGTTGCTAGGAAGAGAGAAGCTGCCTCATTTCCTGCACCAGCTGCCCTCTGAAGCAAGCAGTTCCCTAAGGAAAAACACAAATACTATTGGAGTACTATTGCAACCATACCATGACACTGAAAGTGTTAGTTAGCACATTCCCCACTACCTTATAACATTGAAGCTTGAAGCCAAAAAAGAAAATCCTACCTGTTAGTAATGCCTTTGAAACGCTGGACTGTCACATACACTATTTAGTAGTTACACATTTTGAAACTGTAAAGAGGACGTTAGGACCTAGCAAGGAGTCCAGATTTTCTGTCACTTCCTGCAGGTCAAGTTCTGCTCACAACCTGTCAGTGTTCCTGCTCTGGGTAAAGATACTACCACCTACCCATGCCATTCATTACACAGCAATAACCATCAAAACTTCATTCAGCTCCACAAACATTTTTGCCTAGTTCCATGCTATTTGGACAGGCTGGAGTAATTTGGACCACAGAGTGCAGCCAACACTAGGCAGTTAACTCACAAGCCTTCCACCTACATGGGAATACAAACCTCTGTTTTACCTGTTACTGTGTCTGGAGCATCTGTATTGCTGCCTCGTTGGATCAGCCTTGCTGCAAAACTGTTCTCATCGAACGAAGTTCCATTTACAACAGGGGCATCCTCAAAAGGGTTTACAGATTGATCAGACGATACAGTGATATACTGAACCGCAAGCCACAGAGCTGTGCTTCCCTCATGATCCTTCAGCTCCAGGTCTAGTCTAAAAGTAAGAGTTAATATTCCTCAACTTATGCCTTCGAAAGTGGTCCCAGATGCTGCTTAAGTTTCAAGTGTCTGAAAAGCTGTACTAGTTTATTCAATACCTCACTGACAACTTCTGCTTACTTAAAAACTTCCAAAGTAACTGGAGCTACAGTAGGATTTGTGAATACTCTGAAACAAGCAAGATTGACTACAAAATTTAAGCCCTTGAGTCTTAAGAGAAGCGTGGTCTTGCTAGATTTGGCTTGTAACAAACTGTCTCAAACAGGCAAGTCCTCTTTTAAGTAACATACAAGAACTGTAAAGTCAACGATGGAAGAACTGAATTAAATGAAGTATTTTGCTTCCTGTCCCTATAACGTCACACGTGATAGCTTTAAGCATAATCCAAGTCGAACTCAAGACTTAAGATGTCTGATTATATTCTTATTACTCTTTTTGGCTCCACTACAAATGAAGATATTGCCACATTTCATCTAGCTCTCTTAGAAAAACACTGAGATGCAGTTTGCTTCCTCTTCACAGGAGGTTAAACTTGCTTGGCTTCTGCCATCTCAAGTTATGCAGAGCCTTCACAGTTTTGCATCTCTAGGCTACTGCTAGCCTTATGATACAGCAAAAAGGTCTAAAGAGCTGTTAAACAGTTTTCATACCTTCACTGAAATAGGTGCTCAGTGTATTTTACATGTAAGCAGAACTTACTGTTTGCACTGGAGAAGCTGACTGAATACAGGTTCATTCCTGACCACAACCGACACATGTAATGGGGTCCTGCAATTGGAGCAAAGTACAGTTACATCAATAAATGAGGCATTTAAGATTTGTCTGTGCTTGCCAACGTGCCCCTATCATTTATGGGGCTAACCTTCACCTCTGCTTTCAGGTGAAGAGCCCTAGTATATCCTGACAGAAAAGCAAGCTTCCATTATAGTGGGTATGGTTCCAGTGGATTTAGTAGTTAGCAACCCTTTCCCCTAATAGAAGAGATAATCTTCAAGGAAAGAGCACAAAAGCTTGACTTACCCAAATTGAGTAGCTAATATACTCTGAGGTTTCTACACCATTTTATGTACTTGTTTGCCAGTCCAATGTAACCTCTAAAGCAGTTTAAAGACCCTACACTTCTGATAAACACACTGCACATATTGGCTATTTCAGATAGTATTGACAGCTTTGAGGAGGCAGATTTTTAGGAATGTCATTTGTCATCTTGGTTAGCTTACTTTACTGTGCAGTGATCCAATAAAGGCAAAAAACTGCTTGCCATCTGTTCCAGCAGTCAACTCACCCCCCAGCTTTCTATAGGGAATATTGGTCATGACAGTGTACCGCTCAGCCTGCAACAGCTTCTGCTCTGGGTGCTACTTGCAGGTCTCAAACTGAAGTAAATGACTTCACCTTCCCTGCTTCCACCATCACCTGTGCTTTGCTGAGACCTGAGAAGGTTCCAAGTGGGCTGTACCTAACAGCTGCAGTGTTATCTGTTAAACCGGTAGCAGACTTTACCCCGTCCAGTATTTACCTTCCTTTGCTGTCTTGCATATTTGGATTGGCTCCTGCCTGTAGGAGGGATTCTGCTATCTGTGCCATCTCTGCCATGACATCTGGCAAATGCTTCTTGGGGCTGTATGACGCCACAAGGTGCAGAGGGGTCTCCTGGTCTCCCAGCGTAGCAGCATTCACACGGGCACCGTTTTTAATGAGAAAGTTTGCAGCAAATTTATCTCCTTTTGTGAAAAAGGATAAAGTTATTTATGGATACACTGTGAACCCTCTATGTTCTAAATAAGCCTAGAAAATGGATACGTGACTTCCTTCTATATGATACAATCATTCCAATAGAACAGTCTGCTTTTAAAACACCTTAGTAATAGATAATTTCAGGAACACTCCACTGCAAAGCCAGGATTAAGATATTTCATAACTCTCTCTCCCTTTTGTGTTTTGCCCTAAGGTTACATGCAACTCAAGTCCACGCACTAGTTCACTTGGTACGGTGATACTAAGTTTGTTAGTTTCTGTGTCACTGCAGCTTTAATGCACAACCAGGCAAGTTGTGAGACTACCCACAGTTCTGAATGAAAGGTACTATTCCTATTCCAGGGCAGTCAGAAGAATGCAGAAGTTAGTTGCAATCTGTTCAGTGCTGCTATATAAACAAACAGTAATGCAGTCATTGCTCTTGAAAACGTAGGCCCCCATGAAGTAACTGCTTCAACAGCTAGGACCTATCGTGATAGGCATTCCTAAGAAATCTTTCCTTAGATCTTCTCAGAAGTCAGAACTTAGGCCTGCTTCAAGGTGCACAAGACCTTGAACTTGAAACAAGACATCCAGAATGCCTTCAGCATATTACTAGTTTCTCTTATTCCAAATACTAGTTTGAGAACATGCATTCACAAGTTTTTGTCCTGACAGCAAGAACAGACAACAAAGAAAACTGCCTGAAAAAGCAGCACAGATTGCTGTCATCTTTGGCATCAAGAAGTAAAATCTAATCCTCCCCCAATTCCTTATCTGATATTCCCTCACTCTTTAGTGATCAGAAATAAGAATCACGTGGCAAGTTGAGACAATTTGCTTAAGCTCCATTTCCAGAACACGACTGTTAACAGTGATCGACTCACTGAAGCTTTTGTTACTGAAAAGCAAGCATTCTCAGAGCTCTAGCTTAGACTGAAAGCAGACATTAGAAGTGGAACACAAATGCTGGTATTAAGAGAAGCCTGCTACAAACTTCTCAGTGCTGCAGCCACCACAACACTGACCTATGCCTAGAAGACCTCCTACTCCTGCTGCTGAAGCTTCATTCACCGGACCAGACTCCAGCACTACCCTGTTCAGATATGTAGGAGATTAAAGGAAGAAGTTGCAAGCTGCACTGAGCTAATAAAATTTAAATTTGTAGATATTTAGATTTGCCTAGCACGTCCCTCTGCTCCTCATCTTTTTCCAGAGGGTTTTTCCTCCCCTCAAACTGCTGTTCAGTAGGGAGAAGTCCCTTGCTGTTAACAGTGATCAGTAAGACACAGATGCTGCATCTGAAACATGTTTAGAAGGCTTCATCTTTATTTATAGCTAGGTTGACCATGCTTGATTCAACCATTTGTCAGGGACATTAAGTGAGTTGCTGCATTAAAATACTATCTGCATCTCCCCGTATTTTTTCCTTCAGAATAAAATACTCTACTAGGATTGCTTCTTGATGTTATGTAGTACAAGTTTAATGCAACAGCCAGCAGGCTAGCTTTTAGATCCTAAAAAAAAAAGACTAAGAAACATAAAAAAAGACTAAGAAACATACCCGTTTTATAAGTTTAGCAAAAAGAAATGGGACAATATTTATCTGTGACTACAGGTTTCTAACTAAAGTGTCAGCTACACAGTGAGACAAAAATAGACTACGGAATATATATTCCACACTGGAACTGCAAGTTAAAGAGCATCATATCCTTACCTCTTTGGATGGCTTTGTGTAACAGACTCCAGCCTTTCTTGTCTGCCCTATCTACATCAGCCTTGTAGTTGACCAGCGTAGTTGCAATACTCTCCAGTCTTTGGGAGAGGGCTAAATCCAAAGCAAGATCTCCATTTTGATCCAGTTCATTAAGCTTTCCAGGAAGCTACAACACAAATTTAACCAGATGACACTAGTTAAACAGGTATGCTCAACGGCCCAACATAACATCATTAACAGCCCATTTTAACTACCGTAAAAGTAGACCTTCAACTCTAATTGTAAATGCCAGTATTGCATTTAGGTAAGCACACCTTATACAGGAAATAATCAGACAGCTAGCAGAGTCACCAAAATCAAATCTAAGCAGAAGACTGTTCAATGAGGAAACGGGAGTTCTACCTACAAGTCTTGTTTAACTCGCAGGAAGCAAGACTGGCAGTTGTAAAGATTCTGCCTATCTAGGCACAGTCAACATGGTAATAGGAAGAATTCTTCAAGTATTCCTTTTTAACATGTCTCAAATCCTAAAATCTGCTGGACAGCTTATTTGCTAGTTTAGAATATTCATCTGAACACAACAGATGCCTTTTCAAAGAAATAATGCTTACTGAACTACCACAAAGTAGCAAAGTTTACTAAGCCATGCACATCTGAAGTCGCGTGGTATAAGTATCAAGTATTGATTTTATTTAAATCAATAATAATTTATAATATAATAATAATTTGATTTGATAATAATAATAAATAATTTGATTTTATTTATCTTGCATGCAACAGATTACATCAGAAGTGTTGACTCACTTCTTAATTATGTCTTTATAGAGCCTTTATCACTCAGCCTCTATTACAGACATAAAAGTAGCTACAATAATAAACATACGAGTAAGAACTGGTGACAGAAATAGCTTACACTACCAGTCAGAAACTAGTTATTTAAAACATGGAGTTACAGAAGACAGTAAAAGTTAGTCTCACTATACCTGTGAATCCATCTCAATAAGATATAAGAAGACTACATCTTCTCTCTCAACTTTAATAGCCTTATGCAAAGGATATTCTGTCTTTGACTTGAACATTTTATACAATAACTGAGCACTCATGCTACTGAAGTCTTCTTTACGCAAGTCATCCTAGAACCAATAAAAAAACAAAGGGTAAGCAGTATTTTTGTTTTGTTTATAAACAAGGCATTGCACAATGCTATTACGAAATTCACAAAACAAGCTCAGTTAAAAGTTCCATTTTAATAACATGCACAACATTAAAAAAAGCAGGAACAATCCAAGATATCCTGTTAAGACTAGGAGGAAACACTGAGAGGAAGTCTTACATGTTAGTTTTGAGATCTGGTACAGTGAGGTATTTTTCCTCCCTGTTGTGACAGGCACAGAAAACAAGCATTTTTCCATCTATTACAGTAGATAAACATCTAGTTCCTAAAGTAATTCTCTATCTGGACTCTAGTCACAGATTAGTATTAAGCCCTATTGTCAAAGGAGCTATTCAGGAATGACAACTCCATGTAAGTTTGAAACTTGATCTCTGAGCACAAAGCAGTATCTACATCTGACCTCTGGATGTCTCATGCTGTCTTAAGATATAGAATAACCTAAATCCTCATACACCAGTCTGCTGTTGGCAAACAGACTTATTTTAGAGACTAATCCATTACACAGTTAATCAAGGTTTCCTCAAAACATCAGAGCAAATGAAATTTCCAAGTCAGTTGCAAGATTGCTTGCCACTCCCCCTGCTAGAGAAGATAAACTCTCTCCTGGCTTGGCTCTTACTTAAAAGGATTATTTTTAGAAGTAAATGCAGGCCTGGGATTTGTAATCCTATATAGACAGGAACCAAACTATGGGTGAACCTCTGAACAATTTAGAGTCCAGATTTGTTAATACAACCCTCTTGCCTATCGCAATGGCTTTGGTTTGTCTCATGTTTATGAAAGTAAGAGGCTTTTGACAGTGAACAAAACAACTCTTCAGGCTACAAGCTACTTCCCCCTGCCCATCAAGACGTTTATACAAAGATGGACAAGTGACATAACCTCCAGAGACAACAATGAAAAAAACTTAGGGGAATAGCCATTTAATGTACATTGTTTCAAAAATAATTATGATTTAACACTGTATAAAATACTAAATAATGCACTGCCAAAAGCAGCATATTATAAAGATAAGTATGAAAGAGGGGAAGGGAAAGTGATTCCTGTCTCAAGAAAAGTCCCTTCACTCACACTTAATATTCTGACCCCTTGAAAAACCTAAGGGTCAGGGCAACAGGTTGCCTTAGTCACTGAAAAGGCATCAGGAATCCATGTAATCCCTATCCCAGCTGGAATGCTTGAATGGTAGCATACAAAGACAAATTTCTGAGGTTAGACAGCACAGTAAGTGATGTTCTTGTGCTTAAGTTTCTATTCTCTGTAAACATTTTTCCTTTTGCTTCCTTCTAGCAGTACTTACCCAGTGACTAGCAATTATCTCTGCACAATAATTGAGAAGAGTGCTAGCATTCAGCTCCTCAGCAGTCTGATAGAAACGAATGCAGTTCCTTACATTAACTAGTGACATAACTCCTTTTTCACATCTGTCAAAATAGGGGAAAAAAAAGGGTTCAGTAAGTTCAGTAAACAGCTTTACAGTAATCACCCTCCCATGCTGTTACAGGTTTCTATATACTCTTCTCCTGGATGCCAACAGAAGTAGTCCTGGACTTACTTCACTGCAATGCCATGGAGCATAAATATACTTTAATCATAAGCCCTATAAGACAGTCCCCGCAAAAGCAGACTCCTATTAAGGCAGTTTGTCTAAGCTGAGGTCCCATAATAGCACCACTTACTGTAGGAGCCTGTGAGTAAATAGAGGCATGCCAGTTCTCCCATGGGAACAAGCTGCAGCTCTTAGACATCTTCCCTACTTCTAAGTACTACAGTATCACAAGCATGCCAAATAAATGTTTGTTTCATGAAGAGAAGGGACAGGGTTTAACAGTAGATCCACTACATCATCTTTAGAGGTGTGAAGTTAGAAGAAAACTACAAACTCAGCTTGAAGTTAAGCATGGCAGTGAACTCCGGGTAGTTTTCAATACAAAAAGGAAACACTTTTCTTTGGGTGTCTGCACCTGAAGGCATCTGCTAATCATCATCAGCATGCTGTACTTGGGCTTTTTCCTTGCCACCAGACTACCATGCTGAGGAATATTTTGTTAGTACAAAGTCTGAAGGCAGTTTCTGTACTGGCCCCATAGATGTCAAATACTTGTTTTAAATTATTATTAACAATTTAGTTTGCTTCACATTGTGTCACAAATATTAGATTAAGTAAGGACCTTAAGTATTACTACAGAACCAGACACCCCTTAGGCAAGAGATTATCAAAGGATACTTCACCTTTGATAAAATTCAAAGCTTCAGAGTTGAACAAAACTTGAAGAGGTTTCATTTTGTAGATTCAGACTTGTCACTAAGTGGTTAAGAACATTAGACATTCAAGATAAGCTATCCCCTATTAAAATGGTGTGATCATCCTCTCCATAATGGGGAAGCATTTAGTGTAACATTACCCTTCTTTGTGAAAAGTTGCTATCAAGACACACAGCTATTTAAGTTAGTTTTCACCTATGGCCTTTTAATATTACAAGATACTGTCATTGACTCTTCCTTTCTTGCAATTCTCCAGAGCTTGTTATTAATATATTGCTCTCTGCTTCATTTCCCTGGCAAATTAGGGTTATTAGTTTGACTGGAAGAACTGGGAAGTAAACATAAGAGCTGTAAGGAAAAACTGCTACAGCATAACTATAGCACAAGGCTTCATTTCCTGTGATCAGCTGAATGTCCTGCTGCATTACCAAAAACCTCAAGTCTTTGAGAAAAGCAAAGCTGCAGCCAACTGCTAGCAGCTGTCAACTTATTTCTATTCAAACAAGGTTAAAGAGTTCAAGAATAACCACTGTATTTACCAAGACTCACCTTTCCCTAAGCAGCTGGAGCTGAAATTTATTAGCTAGTTTCATGAGCTCTGTCAAAAAGATATCATCTTCTCGTAGCTCAAGTTCATCTGTGTAGATCCAGCGCAGCATTGCCATGGTTACCTCTGGGTCAGCATCTGGTACACGGAGCAACAGGGATTAATAAAATACCCAAAGAACAATCACCTATTCAAGTAGTTGTTATTCCTCTGAATGTTAAAGTCACAGCTACCAGGAAAAATATCATCTCATTGAAACCACACTGCTTTAGCTTAATCAAAATGGCAAAATAAAGAGACAAAACTGGGCAGAAGTCAAAGCTAGCACCAGTGCTGGCACCAATCAGGAAAACCTTTCTTCCATTGGAACACTGTGCAGAATACAGGGAGCTCCGTACCGTCTCCCAGTTGCTAAATGAACATGACTTTTAAGGGCCAGCGATGCCCCTTTGAAGTCTTTGCTCACTCACATATAGCTAAATCCACATCTATATGTGACATGCCCAAATCCTCTTTTCACTTTAAGAACCCCTTTTGGCATATTGCAGTCATGTGTGTTATAAACTGTGGCATGTCAATAAGCTTGCTTACATCTTAGGAATGACTACAAAGTACTTAGAACTGCTAGGAACCATTTCTAAGATGAAAGTCAGTTTAAGAAGCTGGATAGACTTCAGGTGTTTGTAATACTGATCCCAACCAAGCCTGCATGTTGTTAACACAGCAAAAACTACAGAAACCTATCCACGGGACACAAGAGACATAACATCAGATCAGACCAATTTCTAAACTAATTGTGGTTGGTGTTTTTTTTTTCTTTTCAAAGTAACATTAGTCTCTTAAGCTGTTTAGTTTTTAAAGATAAAAGATAGATGTTCAAGACTGAAAAATCCATCCTAAAACATCTTTACTCAGAGTTGTCTCAGATTATTTGCAGAATACCAGACAGTACTTGACATAGCACACAGACTGTCTCCTAAGAAACAGGAGGCTTTAATAAGGCAAGTATCTTTGGCCTAACTCGAAGTTATCAGAAAAGCCTACTTGAACTGTAATATCAGCTCTGCCTTGGCAGAGAAAAGAGTACATGTCCTCCCTCCCAACACGAGAACCTGTGCTTATCTTTATGTTCATTCCGCAGAATACATGAACTCTGAAAATACTCAGATTCAAATGCTGCCTGTATTTTGAAATTAGTTTTTAGGCAATCTTAACTTGCAAGTTCTAGAAAGGACTTTTTTTTATTATTATTATTTTAAAGAAAACCCTGACATAGTTTTTGGGGGAACAGCTTGTTGCTTGCTAGAACTATTTCATAAAACTAATCTTTCTGCTATGTATCAAAGTGTTGTTCTGATGTTTTTGTGTTTGTTTGTTTGTTTGTTTTTTAAGCTTAGTTCTGTAACAGTAGGTGGTATTCTTTACACAACTTGTTTTAAGCATCATTCAATAAGAGGAAGCGTTTACATTGCTAAACATGCAAGACCACAACTACATTTGAGATTCTCAGATTAGCATGAATGGAAAGCTACAAGTGCTATGGACTACCACTTAAAGACTTGCAACAAAGCCACAATTAGCATAAGGGCTTTTTGGTAATAAATCTTATGCTAACATAGCACTCAATTAAAAAAATACTCCTTGGCATATGTTCTCTTGCAGCTGCAGAAAGATCCTTAAATCCTTCTTCAGGAAAGTTGCTACGCTCTCACACAGAACTGGCTTGCTGTGACTTGCTTCCTTCCAGTTTGTCTGCATTTAGGACTCATGATAAGATACAGCACAGAAAGTGAGGTCAGTGCTTGGTATTCAACATGCAAGCCTGCAAACCTGCTTAACTTCATACCCATTTTTATTGCTCACAAATTAATTGTGCAAGACTTTCCTATACTGTTAAGTACAGAAGAAAGTCTCAATTTGCAGGAATGCTGCCCAGTGTAAGCATATGCAAGAAACAGCTACACTGGAACAAAACACCATCTTATAGAAGACAGCCTTTCAAAAATTTCTTTTTCCTTAACCTATTTTGCAATAGTATCAAAATGCCAAAGCAAATCACTTTTGTAAGATCAATATTTGTATTTACTTCTTCCACACACACTGTTAACAAGAAGCAAGGTACTTCCATTACACACTTCAGAAAAATTATGCACGCTACCTCAAAAAGCCCTGTCCTTAGAAAGGAAGAAGTCAAGCTCCTCCATATAGATTTGATTGTCATTATGTTTAGTTGACTCTAGAAAAGACAAACAGGCCACCATTCTCAACCCCTGTTCATTAAAGAGAAAGAAGGTAGGTTATTGATTTAACTAGCACTAGCATCACGTTCACAAGTCTACCACCATGTTTCAGAGAAAGCTTCATTATCAACTGATTAAACACCACTTTTTGCGGACAGCAGTAGTCCAAAAGGTGCAAGAGTGACCTTTTCTCAACAGGCCCTTTCACCAGTCATCCTGAAGACAAGTGAAGCATCACGTATTACTAAGCAATGACTGACCTGACAGATCCAGCTCCTCTGTTGAGGCAAGGTTGGCTAGACTCCAAGCATCACTGCGTGCCGCTAAGACAAACTTGTGAGCCCTGATGTGCTTGTCTTTGACCTTTATCTTCAGATCACTGATAAGAGGAGAAAAAAACATAGCCATTTATAATGCAGGCTTTCCCCGTGCTTAGATATGCAAGGATTCAGCATCTCCTAGTATCTGTCTTTGCATCCACATTTAGATTCAGATTGTTTGAGATATCAAAACACATTTGCTTAAGTGGAATACATCACCAAATGACGCAATTATTATTTTTATATGAATGAAATGAGTCTCTAGTATTTAAATGTTTTAACAGTTTCACAGTAAACTGCTAGGGAACTACTGCAGAAGACAGGAAAATCCAGCAATCTCGAGGTTCAATATTTAGGTTGCAGAGTCCATTCTAGCACTGTCAGCCAAGCACCAAAGGTTTTGTACAAGAGCAGTAACAGAACAAACGATGTTTGACAGTAGTCTTGAGGACAACGCAGACTCCAAGAATGCCCAGTTCCTTGGAGACCAGCTGTCAAGAACACTTTAATTTAATACTAAACCTTTTAACACCAGGTTATCCTTTGTACTTAAAAAGTACTTGCCCTGTTTATTTTAAAGTTCCACATCTTGCAAGTGTTATTCCTATGTAGGTGTATTTTCCAGACAATTTTCTAAATCAAAACACCACTATGAACTGAAGCACAAAATACACAGACGTTACTTTAAGCTTTCACTGGGACTTGCTTCCTTTCTCCTTTTCTTGTTTGGCCACTATTCTACGACTTTAAATCTAAAATCTGAAGAGAAATAAAGAAGAAATAATCCAACTCTTCTGACATAAACCATCTAAAAAATCTCATCTTTTACCCAGCATGCTATTTTAAGTTTCTCACCGGACATACAGATTTCTCAAAGAAACACGAGACATGGTGGGAACACATTTTAAACAAAACTACGTTATTTTCCCTTACATTCCTAGCCTCCTATGCAATACTAGAGGTGGTTTCAGTAATAGCAAAGAAATTGGTGTCAGGTGTGGTCTTGGCACTAAATCCATTGGGGCATCTAGAGTATTAACATTGATCCTTAATGTTCATATGGAAGATAAATGATGAAACCTAATTTTACATTAAAACTCAGAAATATAGTATTATTTACACTGGCAAGTCATAACTGCCCAAGGCTTGTTACGCCATACAAACAGACAAGTCAATTAAATCAGGCTTCTTTACACATAAAAAAAGAGCAGAGAACATGCAGGAGATAGTCCTTCAAAAAAGTAGGGCTTTCCAATTGTAAGATACACGGCATAATTAATGTGTCAACTAGCTGTAGGACAGTGTAAAATAACTTCTGCTCAAAGGAAGCTCAGCCACTGACCATGAAAGCAATCAACTTTCTTTAAGCTTGTCTTAAATGCCAGCCTCAAAGATAAACTTGAGCTTAGAGCTCTTGATCCGAGAATTGGATTCAAGATACTGCCTGATCTTAAGAGTGCTTTTGCAACATCTACCTGGGGACCCTGCTCACACCAGGCAGAGGTGAAAGCATTTTTTTTGTCCAAGATTAGCACATATTATAAAGTCAATAAAGCCAAAGCTTCCTGTAATCCCCCCTTCCCCACAGGAACATTTCTTACCTGTACTGCTCCTGCTGATAGAGTTCAGATACAATGGCAAGAAGTCGACTGATGAAAGTGTCACTGGCGTTGTCTTGGTTAGCCTGGGCAGCCAGAAGGTTGCATCTCCTTTCTGTATCAGCAAGTTTCTTCTGCAACTTCACATACTCCTGGCGGAGAAGCATCAGGTGCTTCTCCAGCTTGGCCACCTCCTCTGCAGGGGCACACAGTGTTACTACAAGGCTAAAACATTGCACATCTGTGCATTGCATCTGAGAGTAACTTCACTCTACAGGTGCATTACACATTTACTTCAGTCATGGGGCATTCCAGTAAACACTTCTTCCACACTACTTGAGTAATTCATCCCCAATATTAAACCTTTTATATCTCTGCTAGCCATAAGTACATTGAAAAAAACAAAACAAAAAAAAAAAACAAAACACCACAGAAAAACAGAACACACTGATAAAAGCTACTCCTAAATAGAGTTCCTGAATGCTATCCAGTCAGGTGCACCACAAGCTTTCTAAAGCCACGGAATTGTGGTGGGGTAGAGCACAGACTCACTCAGCAGCAGTTACCAATCAATACAGTTACGATGCTGCCTGCCTTGACAGCAGTCATCGAGCACAAGCAAGCATCAGAACAGCTGCTGGCAGTGCAACATCTAACCCAGAGCACTTAACTTACCTGTCTAGAACTCCGCACTGTCAGCTAAGAAGCTCCTTAAGAAATAGCCAGAGTGGAAAGCAAAGTTTCCCCAAAACCTGTGTTTCTAAAGGCCAGTCAAAAAACATATAAAGCCAGTTACTCTCCATCAACGCACTCCCCCAGCGGAGGCTCTGCACTGACGAGGCGTCGTGGTGCAGAGTTGGGTCTGTGGTGGCTGCTGCAATTCACAGGCACAGCAGCAGTACCTGGCCATCAGGTCCCTGACTAAGTGTTCCCATCCCACTGCAGAGCCTGCTCCTATACCACAACGAAGAGCTGTGGTGAGGCACTCTGCTGAACAGCTGTGTAGAACTTGACCTGGGACACTCATATGAAAACCCTCTACTTCACTGCTGGATGTAAAAGGCTTTACAGGTGCTTAAAACCAGACTAACTGAGGAGCATTGATGGATGAGGTGCACAGGCTACATGTAGCTATCACTGTGGTTAGCTGATTATTACCCACCCGTAACAATCCACATCAAGAAGGCAAGCTTCCAAACAAGACACATATCCAAAGCCAGTCCTAACATGAGAACGGAGCAGGGAGGAGAAATTTGGAAGGTAACCAATGGGAAAGTCTTCACAAGATTCCTCCCTGCTAGCCAGGAATTCACTGTTCAACAAGTTTTCCTCAAATATTTACTAAATGTAAAACAGTATTACAAACAAGAAGCCGAGCTCTGCGACCAGTGTTTTCTTTCTGCTCCTAGAGAAAAGTTCAACAGCCAAGCTGGCCTTGGCCTGGCTCCAGCAGGTCCCCAGGGCAGAGCATCCTCCCCTTGCTCAGCTGCGGGCTGAATGCCTCATTTAGCCTCTCCTCTGTGACTGCTGTGGCAAATACTCCCTTGTAAGTCTTTTAACTTAACGACTGTAATGGATAAAGAGGAGGTAATTCACCCTGTTTGACTCTTCTGTTAATACTGCTTAAGCAAGGTTGGCAGTGTACTTGCTTCAACAGCCATTTATTCAGCTCCATCCTTTACCAGTTAATAGATATCTTCTCCTCTGGGATACTTACTCTGCCGAGGTAACGCTGTGATTCCAAAACTGTGCTACCAGAGCAGCCCTCAAAGGGAGCTGAAGCTCTGCTCTGTTCCTTCCATCTGAAGATGCTGCAGTGCCCATGTTCCCAGAACTAGGGGGACACATCTCTGAAGCAACCGCTCCTTCCTGAGTGATTCATAAGGAAGGTGCCAAGGATGGCACAAAGCAAACCCTGCTGCTACAGGAAGGAGAGCGATGCCTGGTAAGAGCCAAGAGTGATCCTGAGAGACACTTCCAGAGAAGTGCTGCAAAAATGAGTGCACCAACACTGCTGTTCATACACTGAGATTCCGAGGAGCCATCTCAAGTGCGAGGAACAAGAAGTTGCCTGCTGAACCTCCCAGCACATATAACCTTAAATAAGCACTGCCTCTTCAAGCCAAGCAAGGGAAGTGTGAATGGGGGAATAAAGAATCAGAAGGCTCTCTCATTTTACCAAAGCCACCTCACTGGCTCCAAGTTCCTTTAAAGTCACTGGGACGTGATGCAGAACTACCTTGCAGCTTAAAGCAGCAGCAGCAGCTTCAGTTTTACACAGAAAATCAAGCTCATTTCACTGCTACTTCCAGGGCGACTCTAGACAACCACTACTGGTAGTGAAAACACCTGAAAGGCCTGAAGCTTCTAGAAGTCTTGTTTCCAGATCGATGGCATACAGTATCACTAGGGTTGGAAAAGCCCTCCAAGATCCTCTGGTCCAACCATCCCCCTACCACCCCTATCACCCACTGAACCATGTCCCCAGGCACCACATCCAACCTTTCCTTGAACACGCCCAGGGATGGGGACTCCTGTACATACTTCCTGTAACCACAGTGAGACAGACTGATCAGCATTCACTTGCTGCAAGGGCTGCAGGAGCCATAATCCCAGAGTTTCTTCTATACACAGGAGCATGCGTAACAGCTGTGTATTACCTACAGCTGCACACCTGCAGACACTGGATCTTACAGCACCTTTCAGGTGCACATACATTAAAGGCAGTCCTCAACATCCACCTAACCAGCATTCGGTGCAAAAGAGCAAACCAGCAAGTTTTCCCTGTATGTTGTTCATTTGAAGAGTTCACACTGCATTATCACTTCGAAAGGGCTGCACGCTGACGCTCAGGGAGAAGCATCATCTGCTTAAAGCAATGGCACCACAGCTCCAAGCTTGCTATTTACAGTCCTCAAATCTCAGGGGAGGTCAGCACTTAAAAATCAATGTAAAATGACCACTGCCTCTCCAAGCTGACAGTCACTTTGATACAGTGCATTTATTGCCAGTCCACGTTAAGTATGGACATTTCTCTGGCTGTCTCCCAAGCACAGATGCAGGCTCCTATGTGTGCAGTAACTGCGCATTAACAAACAGCCTTGGATCAAGGCCCTGAAAAGACAGCCTTACTTGCAGGGAGGTCTCCGGCTAAACACAAACCCAGTGCTCACACGACCAGGATGGCTGGGTTTGGCAGAGAGGCGTACACAGAGCGACTCCTTTTCGGAGCTCATACTCTAGGTGTAGAGTTAACAGATGGCTAGACGAGAAAATAAAAGCAGCGTTTGTTAACACATTCCTGGCAGATGCGCTAGGATCTCATGAACTGGCAAAAGTTTCAGGTCCTTATCACAGACTTGAGAGAGGCTCGGGGAGTTTTCTTACAGCAGAAGGTACAGAAGTCTCGAGAGCGATTTGTCAGCTGAATCCAAAGAGATAAGAAAGGAGGCAATAGGCAGCGGGGTAGCAGATAGCATGTACCCAAAACCAGAGGGAGGGCCTGGTGGAAGCCATGGTGCTGTCCATCCCACCCTTCCAGAGCAGCACAGATAAGCTCTTTATTTCTGAAGTGAGCATCTCTGGGAAATATTACAGAAAAACACATTTTCTTTCCCAAAGTCAGGTCTATCAGCCAGCGCTCCACTTTGACCCACCTCCTCCCCGCAGCTGTCCAAATTACAGCTTCCTTGTTCCCCCTCAGTTTTGTCCATTTACAATCTTTACCCTGATGACCATTCCAAAAATACTGCAGCATGCTTCCTGCTGCTCTAGACTCAAGCATTACTCCAACAGTTTACACCCCTGCCTGCATGCCCCTCGTATCCTCTGACATTAGTGGGACACAACTCTTGCAGAAGCTCCAAAAGCAAGCTCTGCACTCACTTTTATAAACTTTGAAAAATTTGTAGCTATTAATTGCAATAAATCTAATTAAACATTTCCATGCACAGGGGGAACACCTCCCCAAGAAAAAGCATTCTGCCTGCTTCTGGGCAGATGACCACAATCTGACAACCTCCCTTCGTTAATAAACCTTCATTTCTGATTTGACTCTCCAGTATCATCAGTTCATAATTATGAAAAAGCACTGCTGAAGGTAAGTACTTTATTTGAAGGGCCAAGTCCCTCCACACAGGTCTCATAACGAAGTGAGTGAGTAGAGCTAGAACTCCAGCTCACTACTCCTGTTTGCACAGGCTCTCTCAAATGATCGTGTGTTTTCTTCAGCTGAAAGCTCAGGGAACTGCTAAGGAGGAATCTTTGAGAAGTGTGTATGGCTGAAACAGGGCCTGCCTCAGCCACAGGGTCTTTTGCCAGAGCAGGATCCCAGACCACATCTTTGAGGGTCTTGGTGAGGAACTTTTATCACCTGCTGATGTCCTTGACATCAGAGGTGGTGGGCCCCTGAGGTTTCAAGGCAAGCCCAATAAGCTGGTCAGGTAACTACAAGTTAAGATGTTGCTCTAAGGATTTATTAAGCAAGCCTGAGCACAGCATCTTCCCAGCTGATGCACACCAGATCAGCGTGTAGTAGTTAACCTTTAACAAGCACTTCTGAAGTTCTACCAGTCTGATCACTGGAGTTTAGGACTTGAAGGCAGTGCTGTTAAGACTGGAAGTGGGAGCTTCTACCGTGCCTGTAAGTTGGGACTTTAAGCTCAGTTTGCTGATTCAGTTTCCTCCAAGAAGGAAAAGAGGAAGCTTCTGCCTCACGTTAAGGAAAAGGACTTTAGACATCCCAGCGCTTTTCCAACCCCATTACCTCAGTTCATCACGGAAGGGGGTCACTGACAACCTGTGCGCTGCACAAAGCAGCTGGGGCGTTCTGCAGGGGTCACAGCTCCAAGCCGAGCCCAGCACCAGGAGGCCTGGCAGCAGCAGGGGCCAGCAGGTCCCCGCCTCACCCTGAGGGACCCCCTCCCCGCCCCTCCCGGCCCCCCGCCCCACAGCAGGCCCCTGCGGGCTCCCGCACCACGAGCTCCTTCCCGAACCGCCCCCGGCCCGCGGGGCGCTCCCTGAGGGGGAGCCGGCAGCCGGGGCGCCCCCCCCCCGCCATTTCACGTCCACCTCGGGGTCTGCTCGCCTCAGCCGATCCCAGACCGGCCTCGGCGGGCAGGGCCCAGCCGGCCCCACATGGGGGCCGCCCCCAGTGCCCCCCCGGAGCCTCCCCAGCCGGCGGCGCTGCCGCTGCACCCGGCGGCCGCGGCCCCGCCCGGGCTCCCCCCCTCACCTTCCGCCATCTTGGGTCCGCGGCCGCAGCTCTCGCGAGAGCGCCGCGCTCGGCCGGCGGGACGGAAGGGAGTTCTCGCGAGAGCAGCGCGGGCGCCTCCCGCCTCGGGGCGCTGAGGTGTCTGAGGGCTCGGCGACCCCCCCCCCAGCAGTGGGTGGCTGCTGCCCGCTAACCCGGCGCCGTTAGGGAAAAGGGTCGGGCTGGTTTGGAGCCGATGGGTGCCTTTGGCTGCCCCTTAAATCATCGCTACGTCAGCTCCTGCACGTGGTTTTCACTTCAGTTTCGCTTCAGCTGCTGGATCTGTGCCCGGCGGGTGTGAAGTGGGGTTGGGACCGAGACGGGCAGAGAGCAGCAGCGAGATCCTTGTCTTAAAGCTGCTGTGCGAGGTAGCTCATCCTCAGCTGCTCCCAGTGCTCGTGAGCTTCCCTGCCCCAACAGAACAGAAACACCACCAGGCTCCATGTGTATTCACCACCTTTCATATGCCTGACCTAGCAGCAACGCTTTGGTTTGCTCCGAAGAGCCATTTTCAAGTAAATATTTTATCACAGTATCATTTTACAATTGCATCATTTTCTCCTGACTTCATTAAGCAATGGTTGAAAGTCCCTCTGCCTCCTGTCTTAGCTTTCTGCCCACGTTGGACAAAGCAGCACAAGTAGAATTGGCCGCAGGAGAGCCACAGACCTGGTGGGGTTTCTGGACAACTCACGAAACGTGCCCCACCTCATTTTTCACAGCTCAGTGGCAAATACAGACACAGCTACCGTAAATCACTGTTTGTGGGTGCTATTAATCATCTGTGAGGAAGCAGTCATTGCCTGATGAGCTTTAGTCTTGGTTCAATTTCTTTGTAACAGAGCTCAGGTGACAAACTTCTGCTATACTTTGCATCTGGAGAATCAACAGTCATGTCTTTTGTTAAGGATTTGACAGGGCAGAAAGCAGCCTTTTAACAACCTCTCTTTAAAACCCAAGCACCTTCTGTTTCAGTTTGAAATCACTAGTGCGTACTTCTGAAGATACTCAGAAGCTATGAGCTGTAGTGCTGCCGTTTGCATTGTGGTGGCACCATACCAACAACCGTGCACCAGATGGTACAGATGCAATAAAAAGTCCATCCCCCAGCAGCCTACAAATAAAAGTGACTCTAACAAATGCACTTACACTCACTCCAGAATTAACATTCTATGTTTATTGATCTTCTAGTTTCAGTAAGCATCTTCCAGGCATCACAGCAGCAGGAAAGAATTTTAGAGTAACAGCTTAACAGCCGGATTTTTACAGAGGTCTTCTCTGATGCATAAGGGACAGCATGGAGAGAGATAAAAAAGAACTAGGATGGCCATAATACTTTGATATTTATTAAAATTCCATGCTTTTCCTACCCCCTCCCCCAGCGATGCAGTATTATCTGGAAAGCAAGCCACTGTGTGTTGGGAATAAAAAACAGAACAAAACCTCAGCCAAGTCTCCAGAGAGCTAAGAAAAGATTAATTAATCATCCAGTACTCTGATTGTCTACATAAATCAAACTAAATGCAAGATCTTGGTACAAGTGAAAATGATTTAAAATGCCTGTTTACTTGATTGCTCAACAAGTATTCTGGTACTACTTGCACATGCTGCATCTCTTCAATGGTGTTCATATCTTGAGCTAAGTCAGAAATTTCTGGTCCTATCTATCAGCATCATAGCCAGATCCCCTTGATGTGTGGGCCAGGAAGAAAAAGCCAACTGTAATCACAGAAAAGTTGAATAGGTCCCTCCTGTGCCTGTCAGAAGCTTTCTACAAACTAGACGCTCAGCCCCCAATATCTTATATTGCTCTTTCGTTAAGTCACTGATCGTCAACATCTGCACCTTGCACCTCTTAACAGTATCTCACATTAGCACTCCTTCCTTTGGAATGTCTGGGCTGTGTAGAATCACAAACCATCTTGGTTAAGCCGAACACAAGTGCTTTTGTATTCAAATAATTTACAAGAGAAGCAACCCTGCTATGGAACAAACAGTTCTTCCATACAACTGGTGCAAGACTAACATTTCCAGGCCTTCCCTAAAAGGAAGACACTAGTAGCTCTTCTAGAGAAGAAATGAGAAAAACAAAAGCTTTGAACTATTTTGTGAAGTCTACAGATGAATCAATTCTGAACTATGCATGTTACTCAGCAAGATGAAGCATGGAACACCCATCTCGATGGAAGCAGCATGTAACAATTATCTTGCATTACTGCCAGCTCTTTAGATATACTATGGAAAGGTAGAAGGGCAGCCAGTGAAGTAGTCCTCTACTACTTGATTCAGGAGCAGCAGCATCTTCCAATACTTTGTTCATGGAAAGAATAGCACCATGCTGCTGGGATCCTGCATAGTTCTAACTCTTTAGTAACTGAGAAAGGGTAGCCAGCTGGTAGGCAAGAAACTTCCTCCCAGACAGTTTTAGACAAGCATTCAAAAGGGGACTAGAATTAGCAATTGTGTCTGAGCACTAATAGATCTGAAATACTGCGCACATTTCTCTCTATATATGAGGAAGCTATCCAACTATATTCCTTATATTCAACTATAAGTGACAGCAAATATAAATAATGGTTTCTCAAAATACTTTGTTAGCAAATACGTAAATATGAACATTAAACATCTGTTTATCTAAAATACCTGTAGGAGGAAGTAGTGTCTCCACTTCTAAGTCTTAATTATTATACTTAAATGGCTTTTTTTGTCCCATACCCTATCTTGCCACTGTTAACCATCTCCTTTTTCCCACCTCAACCCTCCCCACAAGAAACCTGCAGCTATGCCTTTTAGTATATGCATGGTGCAACCTGAAATGAAATCCAGCCACAGCTAGCAAATTAGTATTGAATGCTTCTTACAAGATAATTCTTAACACTGAACTCTTTATTTATTAGTAAGTTACTCTGCTGTTAAAAGCTGTGATAAAACAAACCTGTGACAGAGCAGAGAACAGTCAGGTAGTTGTAAAATCTTCTGTAAAGTTTCTTTGGTAGAAATGTGTTTCAGGCATGCTTGAGAAACTCCAGTATCAGATACTCTGAGATTAATATTTGCTCACTGGAGGGACAAGGATGGTTCCAACTGGAAAAGTTTTGTTTGTCTGTTTTTAATTTCAAGATTAAAAACAGTATGTCAAGTTAAATAAAAGTTTGCTTATGTCAGGTTGCTGAAGATGTTCAGGTAATCTGCACTCCAACTGCAGCTCCCCCTTCCTATTTAGATACTGAAGACAGCCAGTTTGACACATTATTATTGGAAAAAATTATATTTTGGAAGAACTCACTACAGAAGGTGACAGAATTCCAAAAATCAAATTACATGAAAATATACATCGCAATTTTCTTTGTACATTAGGTGAGGAAACTCTGAAGTAGAAGGCAAAGAATATGAAGGGCCACAGAAGAGAGAAAAGGGATAAGGAGAAAACTATTTTTGATACCAAACCCAGAAGTTAGTCATTTGAAAGCCTACAGATGCGCATGCTTGAATTCAACCTTGAGATAAAACAAGTCTCCCTCACACACCCCACCCCACAAACAGGCAATGCAAAAGGCAAAAAAAAAAAAAAAAAAGTCACCCATAAAAAAAGCAGCTCATCCCATCTTGGACTAACTTAGTCAATTCAACTTCCAAATGAAAACACTGAAGTCCCTGGAAAGGGAAAAATCCAGCAGGCTGCTCAAGGGTGCTCCATGGCCAGTTTATTGCTATACCCAATTCAAGAAGCATGTGCAATTGGGTTTCTTATTAAAAAAAAAAAAAGAGGGTTGAAGGAAAAAAGAGCACCTTTGAGACTACAAAGGTCATCATAAAAGAAGACACAAGTAATTGATAGCAAATCCCTTCAGGTTTAATTAGGAAAATTTTAAGTTCTGATGAGGGAATAAAAGGGAGCACATTTCCAAAAAACAAAAGAGATACTAAACTTCAATAAGCAAGAGATTTTAATTAAGCCTCAGTGGGTCAAAGGAAAATTAAAGTGGAAAAAAGACTTTAATCCTAATTGGTTTTAGTCTGACATGCTTCACAAGTTGTTGTTTGTAGTTTCGATTTTTTTAAACTGATAGGAAACAATGAATAGGGAAAGAAAAACCTGCTAAAATCTTTAGAATTTACACGATTCTATTCCTAACTACAGACAGCATTATTTGGTACAATGTGTATTTGTGGATGTACATGAACAGTATATATATTATCCGGATCATGTTGTGCTATGTACACATCTTTACAATTCTTCCTGAAGGTTAAAGCAGTTCATTAGATTTCAAAATGCGTAATCATCTTGTGTTGGCACTTGTTAGGCTCTTGTCAGCATTGATAACTGGCATGTTTTATTGCAGCCCAGTTCCAGCCAGTGTTTGCCAACTTGTAACAACAGAAGTCCAGCAATAGGTGGGTAGAGTGCAGGAAAAAAACAGTGCCATGTTTCTCAATTGGAGACCTACGAAGAAATCACAATTATTAGAATAAAAGCACTCACGATCCTTAATTAGTTTTAAAACTTCAGTGTTTCAAACTCAAGGAAGATACTTATTACTTATTCAAGAAGTCTACCTACCTCTATACAGAAGATGCATACATCCAAAAGCATCACCTGAGAAAGACTCGAGTTAGGTTCAGCATACTGTGCGACTCAGCCCAACTATCAGACCTTCAGGCTCCTGTCACTTGCGTTGCTTGTTAAGTTCATAGTGTGTAAGGGTTCGATTATTCACACAAAACTAAACACCTGTAGGTTTTTCATCGAAGCTTCCGTGCACCACTTACTGTGAAGGATGGATGCTGCTTTGACAGCGAAGTACAGTACAAAGTGGCACAGCAGTGCTTCATTAAGCAGCAAGCAGTGTTTGAAGCCAGCTACAAAGCCCCTTCTCATCCAATTCATCATCCACAGCTTACTTAGGAGTCACCAGGATTTAGAAAAAACTTTTGCCTTCCAAATAAGTACTACAACCAATTTCTTAGTATTTGTCATAAGCATTGTTTCACTATAGCCAAGTTTAACATGGCAACAGAGTTAAGGTTAATTCAGGATATTCTGGAGTATTGCTCAGTTATTCCCTAAGGAAGAACTGCCAGTTACATTACAAACTATTACACTGTGGTTCAGGGCAGTTGTATAAGCCATTCAGTTCCTTTGCCTAGTCTTTTGACAGAATTATGAACTTCTCATGCTTTCTCTCTTCTGGAGAGAGTTCAGTTCAATCAAAGCATTTCTTCACAGGATGCTGCAGTACTACTTTGTCACAGAGCACATACACACCCTGACTCCTCCCAGAAACAGTACTACCAAGAGTGTAAAGCAAGCAAATATTTCCTATGCAACTTTGGTGAAGAAAAACTGTGAGCAGTGGGAACATCTGACAAGATTTTCTAGTTGTCCAGACAGCACAACCCTTCTGCACAACACACAGTACTGTATTCCCCCCAACCCCAGCTTTGTATGGACACTTTAGTGTTACATGTTTTGGGGCTTTCCCAGCAAAATGGGTTAGAATAGTTTACTTGCCAAGCCAACCATTAAGAAAGGGCAGCTTCAACATGAAGTTCTGTTTTGCTTTGAAAAAGCAAGAGTGAAAAATTAGCTAGTTGAATTTTCTGGCGTACCATGGTTAAAGTAACCAAAGGCCATGTATTTAAAGGCCACATTTTAATACAGCACTTTCTATGAGTACTTATGGTTTAAAAAAAAAAAAAAAACACCAAAGATTGTTCAAATTACAGTAAGCATCCGGAATCAGGAATTCATTTGATCAGGGTGAAAGAGTGTAAATACCACATCAGCTACTCTGACATGAAAAGTTAAACAGGTTCTCAGATACACTAGTTCAGTTTTCAAGCAGAATCTTTTTCTGAAGCTATTCCTAAAGCTTCCCCAGTGAAAAAGTCATTCTGGGGCTGCTGAAGAGAATATCACTTTTCTTGATATAATCTACGGCTAATATCTCAACTTAATTATTTCTGATATACTAGCAGACTTTGTTAAAAAAAAAAAAAAAAGCAGCCCCCTAGATACCTGAAACAATCTTATCTGAATAGTTCCTAACAATGGCAAGGAAAGAGTAGTTAAAACAAGCAACACACCACCAATATCTGCAAGAGAAGTGCCACATACATGCATATAAACTTAAGGTAGCAATACAGGATGTTTTTAATATTAAAAAAAATTATTCTTCACAATAACGAACATGAAGGAATGAGTATTCCTTTCTAGTACAACACTAGTAATCCCTAAGTCCTATTAGGGAAGCAAGATGAATACTGCTAAAGGGAAATGCAACTTCTCTAGTACTCTTGTATTTATTCTATTCAGAAGTTCCCCAATCTAGGCAGAAGGGCTGTTACTGCACTAGAAAGTTTAAGCAGTGCTTTAACTATGAAGTCATTTGGCTGCACACAGCCAAAGAACTCCACTAAGACCAAGCAGCTGAGAAGATTTTTTTCCTTTCTGAGAAAAAACTGAACTCAGCAACACTTAGAAAATCCTTAACTCAGGTAAACTAACTCTTCTTCAAAAGGATACTTACCCTGAAAAAAGTGAAGCTACTAGCTGCTGAATAAGTGTCACTCAAAAGCAGTTTCTTGGCTTTTTCTTACACAGCGGGCAACTTTTCTTTTAAATTCTCCATTTCTGTCTTCTCTCCATTCTTTCTGTAATTGAACAGACAGCTTTCAGATGTCAGTGCTATAACCATATACAAGCTCTAGGAAGAATCTTGGTGTTTGTTTTCAGACATTTACCATCTAGTCAACACCTAAGTTTGCTTACAATCATTGAGCTATTCACTAAATAACATTCAGGGCTTGAACACTTGCTCTGGGTTTTCATGCAAGTTGCTCACAAGACAGTGAAGATTTAGCCTCCGACCCCCTTGGCCTTTAGGCATTCCCCAAGACTAACCTAGTAGCTACCAGCATTTTGCAATGTCTGGGCTGAAATCCATTTATTTCAGCCTGACAAGCAGAAGCAAACTGCAGACCACAAGCTATTGTTACAGGTTACAGGAACTGGCTTGAACTGCAGTGATGAACAAAGGCACACAGCTACTGTAGAGCCGGTAGTTCTGCAATTTTTAGGACAGTCCAACTCTACATCTAGCTAGTACACTCCAGGATAGAAGTACAGAAGTCACAGTATTCAGAAGAGGCACAACAGTATCCTTAGAAAGAAAAAACTCCTAGTTGGCTGCAGCTGCACAGCATCATCTCCATGAGGAAGACCTTAACAGAACACTCAGCATACCTGCTGAGCTGGTCCCTGGGACATGTACTTGATTTCAGAACTACACAGATTAAGAACAAAGATGAACGTGAAGATAGGCAAGAGATAAGTCTGAACGCAGAGATGTGCAAACCATAGCATCACTAAAACCTCACAGGAAGAAGTGCAGTCACTCGAAGCTATTTTGTGTCAGCTTCACCAAGCACTCAGTTGAAAGCATGGAGTTAGCACACAGTGACACCCAGGTTGACATCTTGTGTGCTGCCTTACAGTTCAGCAAGGAAGTGACAGGAAGTATTTTATGAAATACAGGGTTCTGAAGAAGTGTTTTTTTTTGTTTGTTTTTTTTTTTTTAAATAAATAATCAACATTCTTATGGGGCTGGAGAAAAAAAATAAATCACACTTCCTTCCTTCTGAGGTAACCTGGCAGGCAACACCTTTCCACCCCCTGCATGGGGTGAAGGCGCATGCAAGAGAAAACTGGGATAACTGGTACATCCCAACGTGAACCACCTCCACGCTCACCTAACCAGTTAACATCTTGGAAAGGCCACCGTGTTTTATCTTTCCAAAGAAAGCAGAAACAAGGCTACTAATTAGTTTGTTCTCCATTTTCAGTAATTAATCCTGAAGCATGTGGTTCCTTGGATGGGGACACAGGACAGCTTACACAAGAGTTCTTAAGGCCAAGAAAAGCTTTGAATTTGTGCTTTCCCAGCTTCAGGCTCTCGGTATTTTGTTTTCCTACCCTTTATTTGTAGCTCTATGAGGCAAGTGTTCAGTATTAAGTTAAGTTCCCAATTTGACAACACTCTCCAAAAGTCTCATTTCAGGTTACAAACTAGTTCCATCTGCTTCTCACAGCATGTACTCAGGCTCCTGTCCCTCACTTTCCCCACCCCAAGAGAGTACTCCAACCCACATTTTTCAGTTTTCCAGGAAGCAGCTATTTCCCCTGCTCTTTACTGCCATGACCTGCCTGTGAACACCTCATTTTCTAGATTCACTGAAGATGAGAAGTTAAGGAGAGCAAAATAACTTTTAGTAACTGCCAAATGCTGTTGCTGCAGTAAACTAGAAGACTCCTCGATAAACAGATCAGAAAAGAGGACGTGAGCCATCCAAGTCTTTGCTACCCTGATGAGGATCTTCTGGTGAACATGGAGGGGATGCAATCTACAGTCCAGCAAGAGATGCTAAGCTGCTGAAGCAGCACACTAAATTTAAAAGTTACTTTATATCTTACAGTCAGAAAAAGTTACTAGCATCCAAAGTTGTATCAGTCATTCCTTGGTACTGTTGTCAGTCTGAGATGGGTTTAAAGTTCTGTTCTTTCAGGCTGGGGTAAAAAAGTTGTTTCCTTAAGGCATGTTCAATCTTTACCCTAAGGTTGGAACCAACTTACCAGCCAGTAAACAAATGAGACAAATTAAAAAAAAAGACAGCTCTCACATATAAAGTTGCTCCTGAGGCAGCTGATACAGAGTGGGTTATAGTATAGAAAGACTTAAAAACAAAACTTGTGATGCCAGTTGGTGATAAGTATAGCTAGAAGTACAAGCTTTCTCCAGCCTTAGGTCACCTACATTCAACACACACCAGTTTGTAAGCTGAGGAATTCTAATGGTACTTTCAGCATTTCATTAATAACTCGCTCCTTCCAGTGCTCTCAGGTATGCCAGCAGAAAACATCCGCGTGTCCTGGGTATTTGTTTCCAGGAGTGTTGTGAGAAGGGGAGGTCCAACACAAAAGAATATTAAATGTGGAAATTCTTCACTACAGTTGCTGGTGGCTTTGTTTTTCCTTACTGCATTAAGTTTGTTTCACATAAGACTGTTCACAAGATTTTTCAGCAAAGCTCAACCACCTCTGGAAATGCTAACAGCATAGCAGATGAAAGGCTTCTAGGAACTAAACTCCTGCCCACCTTAGGAAGGAAAAGCTAACTTGATGGAGGAAGTTAACATGCTTCTAGAAAACTTTGCGTCTTCCAATTGCTACCTCCCTTTCCTTACTCTTCCAGTTAAGCCTGGAACTTCTCTTTTGCAACCACATTGCATGTATTAGTCATTTTTGTACTGCAATTCAAGAGTAATTCAAAGGAAAGTAAGTATGTTAGCATCTCTCAGGTGAATGGGGCCAGAAGTCTGTTCTCCCACTTCCCCCAGAACTGAGCATTTTCCCCTCCCCACCACAGTTATTAGTCTGATTGCTGTTCTGCTATAAAAGCAGCTCTTCTAGAGATCCGATAGCCATGTTTATACACCCACGCAGCACAGGCCATGCTCCAGAAACGTTGTGCTTGCTGCACGCAACTCCTGCATCAAACACTTCTGACAGGATCCTCACTGCAGATTCACCCCAGCCTCAGACTATAAATTGTGCCCTTCTCCCTTGCTCAGGCATTCAAGTCTGGGACAAGACCAAACTTAAAGGCCGGATGCTCAGTGAGGCCTTCAAGTACTTTCTCTAGCAGACCTGCACAGACAAACCTACAGCTTTACTCCATGTTCAGGTAACACTGTTTTAAAGAGGTGAATACAAAAAAAATCACAACAAAATTATACTGAGGTACCCCCACTTAATTTTCTCCTTCCCTTCAAAGTGAGTTACTTAAGCCATTAATAGATTCATTAAGACAAAATATTGCTAGTTTACACAAGTAATGTATTACAAACAAAAACAGGTTCTAGAATGTCTATTTCCACAGCTAAACTTAACAGCACTTGTAACTGTTACACATATATAACCACACAGGATTTTATAGCCAGCTTCCAAAGCAGCCAAGGCTTATTCAAATACATCTGTGCTCAAGTTATTAACTACAAGTAACTGCATTACTGCATAGGAGAAATCAAACCACTGCCTATGAAGCTTGACAGCATCTCTCCCTTGCATTCTCTAAGACATTTACCAGGGCTAGCTGGAAATTCTATTTCACAACGAGTGCTTTTCGCAACAAAAAGGTAGCCTTAGTCCATACTGTACAAAGTTCACCTGAAAAATTATTGTACTGTTTGTCAAAGTAGAAGCAAAACACTATCTCAAGTTTGTTTCTACACTAAAGACAATTCGCAGGCTAAGAAAAAAAAATAATCTTACCGCTGCATCAACATTAGCAGGAGAATCACCATTGGGATCTGCCAGCATAGAAATTACACTAATCATTATAGTTTCCACTGTGTGAATAGGAAGCCAGCGTTCCTCAGGTTTTTCATAGCCATATTTGTCTTCTCCAGGCTCATGAAGAATTGAAATGCAGACATCACCATTCTTGTCAACTACAAAATAGAACAAGGCATACTTCAGTAATGAACAACACGCTGGCATTTCTTCAGGATACTTATGGAACCGTTAACCTTCACTCCAGCTAGTCTAAAAACATGCTGGTGAAATAAAGTTTATAAAAAGGAAAGTAATTATATGTTACAGCGCTCAATCTCTAAGAAACAAGGCTTGGTTGAAGTCTTACTATGCCTAGACTTTTGGGGGAGGAGGCAATACATGGGTGGGAAGAAATTATTTTTTAACACCAGGCTAACAACTCTCAAAACTAATTTAACTCTGCTTCCACTGCAGGTCTTTTTTTTTTTTTTCCCTGTTAAAGTTTAACAAATCAGAGGATGACTTCTTCCATGGCATAAGCATCAGCTGCATACTACTGCTGTGTATTGGAATATCACTTAAGTTGCTAGAATCACAAACCACTGGCAAGTACCCTGACATTTCCAGAGCTGAAACTGACACAGCACCAACATACTCACATTCCCTTATGACAGGAGCACTGTGCTGGTCTCCTCCCAGCTTTCAACATCTACATCTCCACTAGTGACTTAAAACCTAAAAAACATTCCTACTTCCCAGTAAAAACCCTCTTCCAGTTTATTTCACCTTCCCATCTATGTCCAGCAGAGTAGAAATAAAAGAAAGCTTAGGAAGAGCCATCTTTGGAGGGACTAAGAGATGCAGTTATTTCCTTTCACGCTTCACTGAAGGAGGACAACCTTGGGCCTTCTACACTGAGCTGTCAAGTTGGTAATACAGTAAAAATGAAGCACTTGAAGGTATAACAGAAGGCAGGTATAGAAGTTAACACTCTCCTCAGACCAGAGCTTTGCACTTAAATATATACATGTAAAAAAAAAAATCATAAAAGTTACCTAGAATCCAATAAGCTATTGAAAGATACTCTAGGAGCAGTCTCTCAGAGCAGCACTATTAAAAACTCTGCCATGTTTAGTTATTGCTGTCTTCACATAAGAAAGATGTAAATATTTTAATACTTCTAACACAAACAGAATTATATTCATTTGTCTTGCTCATATTTTCATTCTTAATTACAAAAAGCTGGAACTTTGACATTGCTTACCATTCGGATGCCAGATTTCTGTGATGAACTTCATTTTTGGTGGCCTCAGTGGATAGTCTTTTGGAAAAGTAAGATGAGCCTTGAAAACACCACCTTCACTGGGGAATCAAAAATATCTTAGTAGAGTTTCTTGTAAGTTTAAGCTGATGGCTGGAACTTACTGATGCACCAAAAGCTCTACATCTACCCCTCACACAGCTTAACATGTTGTTAATTAACAGTACCAACATTCCCATAGGCAATGCAAGGAGTTTCTAGACTGAGAAGATCCTTTCACAAGATACTGCCAGTTCCCCAACACTTTTTTTTTTTTTTAAGAGCTAGAATGATGTTCCATAGGGAAAAAAATGACAGGGAATTCACTACCTGGAATTACAACTCACTTTTTTCCTCCCAGCACATTTGTTAACAACAAAAATATTGCCAATAACTCTCAAGTACAGCCCCGCAGGTATCTGTTTATATTCTTCCTTTAAACGCCTCTGTCTTAATCTCCCAGTATCAGCCTCAGTGAAAAGTTACAGAAAGCTTTATAGTTCGTGTCTACCAGTAATACCTCTTCAATACTCATCTAAATGGGCTCAGGCACAACAGTGAAGTCTTCAACATTACATTTACCCACTAAACTGGAGAACAACAATAAATGAGACATCCAGTTTTTATGTGGGAGTTGCATAAAGTCAGGTCCACATTTAACTGAAATAACAGTTTAAGTAGCTAGGTTTCAATACCCAGAAATACTCCTTTCTGAGAAAAGTGAATCCTGTATTCAAAGGAAGTCTTACAGATGGAATACTCAGCAAATATAATCATTTCTTGTAACTGACGTTTGTTACCAAGTTTGAAGTTGCAGAGGCAGAGGTTACAAAACTAGAACATAACCTCCAAAGAAGGTGGCATGAGATATGCAGTATGACAAAGCTACTCATCAACAGCCACTCCCATGAGAATTAGAGTAAGAAAGAGCTGTTGTGTGCATCTGGTTTTCTCTATTCATAATGGAGTAGAAGCCTGCATCCAGAGCTCACAGGCTACTGAGAAAATAAGTTTTTACCACCAACAATAAAAGAACATGCATAATTCTAGCAGGTCTCAAGAAGCAACACTATATCTAAATGACTTGGCTCTTAAAAGAGCGCAGCTGAGGGGATCTGAACCCACAGCACTCATTTTTAACAAGTTTCAGGAATGCAAATTACAAAGAATTATTACTCTTCCTAGGAAGGGTAAGAATTCCAGAAACACCAGATATTTTAACATCCATACTAGGCAAGATAAAGGGAAGTTAAATTACATTTGTTGACAGCCCCAAACCAATTAAATTCTACATTTCACAATGAAAGGAGTTCCTCCTTCCCTTCTTAAAGGAGCAGATAATAAATTCAGGCTGTAAACCAGGCTGTACCTGGTTGCCCTTCATCAACAACATATAAATAAAGTTGTATGTGGTCTGTAATGTATATCCAATTGAGTTGTCAATCAAGAGAGACCAGTACCATTTTTAGCAATATTTCTGATAAAGGAGCCTCTATCAGTAGCATCATGCACTAAATCTAAAGTCTACTTTTTTTTTGTGTTGTAAACTCAGGAAAAGTGACTAAGGACTGGAGCAGAAGAGAGCTTGCTATCTAACAAACCTCAAAATGAGCTCAGCACCTTACTAAAGTGGGGAAAAAATGCTACTGCGATTTTAAACATACAAGGAAAAGGTCAATTAAAAGCAATACGTCTTTACTGACAGTATTTATAAAGTGGCCATGAGAATATAATGTAGCCACTACAACACTGTTCAAAAAGAGGTCAACACAAGTTGGAGAATTCCTCTCATGCAAGACTTGAGAATCACAATGTAGCGAGCTTGAGAAGCCAAAGCAATTTGATTGTTGTGCTTAACTACTTACTCAGAAGCCTGCAGACAAAGGTATACAATGATTTGATGTTGGAACTAAAACTGACCTCGAGTAAATGCCACTAAAAGGCTTTCTGTATCAGTAATTTACCACTGGAACAGCTTAATAAAGGAGAACAGAGTTCATCTTCGAGAGCTACACTTTAAGCTGACCTTTTCAGGGCATAAAATCTTTTCCCAGGAGCTAGAATAAATGATCATATGCAACCTCTGAGAAAAAAAAGTTATTCTCTCAATTAGCCAGAGGTTTGGGTTTTTTGTTGTTTGTTTTCTAAAGAGCTACCACACTACATGTGCCAGAGTGCTTCAGATACATATATAGATAGATAAATAGATAGCTGGACAAATGCAGCAAACTGGAGTCCAGCAAAGAAGTTACAGTGTGAAGTGCACACATTTTTGTGCAAGTGTCCATTAAAGAATCTTGCCCTTCAGAGCAAGGATAAAGATTCAAGCTTTTTGAAGCCTACCATGCGAAGTTTGCCTACAACACAAATCTGATCAGCGTTAAAGTACTCTAGGTCACATTAGGAAATTCTCCTTCAGTAAACAGTGATCGCTGTACGGGTTGACCCATCTCAAACTGCGAGGACTTGAGGCTTGCTCTGTGGCCTGCTGCAGTTTCCCAACTGCATCCTTCTCAAGTATTTTCCTACAGTGGCCATCACGAAGTTGGAATGGTTTGAAGTTGTGCTATCAGCTAAGCTAGAGCCTCACAGCAGTGACAGCAAGCAGATTACACCTGCCTTACTTCAATGCATAGAAACCAAGCTGCCCCTAAGCATAGCCTATCCTCTCTTTTCCATACAAGTGCACAACAGGATCAGTGCTGCAGCTTCCCAGGGGAGCAAAGAGGTTTAGAACTTCATAGCAAATTCAGCTATTTACAAATACTTTACTAGCAACTGAACAGCATTACCTAACTTAGTAGGAAGATGTAGGTCATCTCTACTTAGACCAAGCTAGAACTAGCAAATAAGAGTTCTACTTAAGTTTCTATATAAGTAGCAGTACTTACTATAGTGTATCTGGAGGACCAATAATAAGGACTTCCCATCGATAAAGATCATTGTCATCTATTAAGCCCGCTGAAAAGCCTTCCACTGGATTTTTGTTGAGCTCTGTGTAGGAAAAAGAATTTAAGAGTGACTTTAGGTGCCTATTGTATGTATTCGCTGGTTTTGCTCATGCCTCTATAGGTGACCAAAAAAAACCCCACGACTTTCAGCGACCTGGTGTCTACTGATGGATTTATGATCTGGATGAGAATCCTCAACTCCCTGCCACGTACAGCTGCGTGCTGCCAGAGTGGAGACCCAGCCTGACGCACACCACCAGCTGAGTGCATCGGGAGCAGGATGACCAAGCTGTACTCAGCACCTTCAGACATGTTCTCCTAAACTAGCTGCCACCAGGTGTGCATGCAAATGAAGAAATCCACATGTTTGCTACTAGTTAGAGAGCCACACTATTTCACAAGAACCCTGAGGAGCCAGATTAAACTCAAGTGTATTTTTAGGTCTAGAAAAATGTTAACAGAAGAAAAGAGTCACATATTCTTTACTTAAAAATAACATCCTACATCCCTTTAATGATTCTTTTCAGATTCTGAAAAGATTTGAGATATGTGCCCAGTCCATTTTGGAGATAATAATTTACTAAATTCTGAACCATTAGAAGTGAGCCTAGAAGGTGAGCTTGTTATGTTTTTAGTTTCTTTGTTTCACAGTTTTATCCACTAGTGATAAGCACAACAGGATTCTAAGTTTGTAAGCCACTTCGTATAGTTACAGCCAGATTGGAAGTTATCTGGAAATAGCTATGCAGAAGTCAGGCCTGGATACAGACTCTACCAACTGTGCTCAGCCTGCTCCAGTAAAAGCACAAGATCTGGGAAGAAACACCTTAAATGAGTACTGCCTAAAGAGGGAAGTTGGGGTAGGGAAAAGAACGTCTCAGCTGATTGCTGCAGGTCAGACACCACTTTAAATCCCAACTGGTGCCAAATTTAAGATCTTGATACAGCGTTTCCAACAGTGCAAACTCGTGATGGACGGATCTTTGGTATTTAGAATAGGGCAGGGGGAGAAGAAATTATTCATTCAACTGGTTTGTCTTCCATATAACATCAGGGTTTGTTTTGTTTTACAGCTGCTACTGCAGGCATTAAATCCTGCCAGGCATCACAGCCCCCACTAGTTACAGGTCACTGTATCCCCCCCAATACATTCCTTCTATGGCAAATCTATAGCAGCAGCTGGATTTTGTGTTGGTTTCTAGGTATCAGACTGGAGTTTAGGGCACCCTGTAAAGCCCTCAGGTACACAGAGAAGAACCTCAAGTGAAAGCTTCGTACCTTTATGGAAAGGAGGCTACCATTACATCCAAACCCAGTTGTCCATGAGGTTGCAGTCAATGTTTGCTCTAATTAAGAATTAAACTATTCAAAGAATCATTAAAAAAAAAGACACAATAATCAATTCAAGCTCTATACAGACAACTAAGTCCAAACACTAAGAGCTCTCAGCTCACATGAAGGATCAAGATCCTGAGGAGGTGGATAGCAGGAATATTGACTTCACTCAGCCACTGGTAACTCAGAGTCAAGTTTATCCACACAGATGAGTCAGTGCTAAAATCCCAAGAAATGTTTCATTTCTTGGCAGTATGTTGGAAGGGCTTTTCTTAGAACCTACACAGCAGTGGTTCAGTCAACAGATGAAGTCAAACATTCGCTCTGAGTTACAGCACAGAACAGACTGAGGTGTTGAACCACATCATATTTTCATTAAACAATGCCTAAAACAAAAGGTAATACCACAGGCTGCCTAACTGAGATGCAAGTTTCAAAAACCCAAACCTATAGCACAACCACACCTCTGCGAAGCAGGCCAGTTCTCACCCTCCAAGATCTCAGTTGAAACAACTGCATAAGCTTGAGTACCAACCCCATCCAATTTTAGGTTAAAGGGACAGAAAGAATAAGCACGTCACGTGGAGCCAGAAGCAGATGCTGCAAAAGAGCAAGCCCACCCCTCCCCAAAAATACTGTGCTTCACCAGTCCCTTACCACCTCCCTGCTACAGACATGCCTTCAGCACCAGATATTAAAAGACCTATGACATTAATATTTGAACGTGATCTGCTTTTGCTCATGGGGTTTTATTAGAAGTTGTCTATTGTTTATGCAAAAAGAAAGGATTTGTCCTAACACCTCTGTTCAGGATGCTGAAGTTGCCCATTAGGGTACGGGTAGTGTGATGCAGGAAAATCATCCAGCACAACTACAGGAGCCAACAGAAAGTGCAAATGTTAGGTTTCAGTATCGCATCCTAAGACTTTCAGATTTGAAAGTAAGCCTCCAAAACAAGTTCCCTCATTTCTACATCTCCAGAGAGAGAAATCAGTTTATGGCAACTTTCCTGTGTAAACTGCTAACGTTGAGCTGTTTCCATTTAGCTTCCTTACTGGTTGCCAGTTATCACTTGTCAGTGATAACGCTGAACAAAAAGTTAAAAGTGGAAAATTAAGGATGCTTCTGAATGCTGAAGTATTCAGCATGCCACACTATTTTAAAGTCCAGCAGGCACATCTTCTCTTCTTTCTTGATTTGTGCTACTTCCATTTCTTTTTATATCTGTCTCAGCCTCCAGATAACAGCTTTTTTAATCCTTAGCTCCTTTGAAGCATTTTTCACATACTTGTTCCCAATGAAAGCCAGCTCTTGCATTCTGACTCATACTGAAGACCTTGCAGCGCTGTATTGCAAGAGATCTTGTGAGAAGGAGTAAGATTGCTGGATACCAACTGTTGTAACGCAGGAACCTGTAAGCTGTACGAGAGGGACAGCCATTGACAAACACCCTCGGTGGCAGCGATTAGGAAAATCTGCTTAGGGGATGTCACCTATAAAGCAAATTGTGCTGTTACTTCTTTTACTGGAGATGGCATCAGTCTCTGCTTGCAAGAAATTTTCCTATTCTCTTTTCTCTGTAGCAATAGCAAAGCACGGTGTAAATAGTTACTGCACGAACACTTTAACGTGAGGGAGAACAATGGCCATAAGCTCAAGCACCTTCTCCACTAGAGGCACTCGGCATTACCACAGGCAAGTTAGGCAGTCTGCATGGAAAAGCTAATTTTATGCTAAACAGGACATCCAACAACGGCTAGTGAGCAGACAAAAAAAGGAAAGCTCAGCCAAGTTCTGCACTGGGATGTGAAAATCATCGTCCCTGGTTGTTTTACTGTGGACAGTTACAAGCTGCTACTCATTAAAGCTTGTGAACACCGAAGCCTTGTTTAATTATTTTTCCTGGACAAAGCCACCGCTGCGTATCAGAAGAGGTAGGAGCACCTCTCTCCCCGTGAGCTGAGGCTCACAAAGCAGCAAAATCTTTCCCCCAATCCACGTACCCTCAGCACAGCTCACGCAAGGATGCGAGGAGCAGAGGCTCCAGGCTGCGGCAGGCTGCTGCCAGGCGGAGCGGTGACACTGACACTGCTCCCAGAGCAGACACCTGTTCCGTCTGTCACTTCCCACCACCCCCAGCACTTAACTGCTTGTGGACTGAACAGGAGGGAGCTTTCCTAGACAAACCCGTGGACGACGAGCAAAGGATTCGCTTCCCTCCTCCTGCCAGGCAGAGGGAAGCAGCGCTTGGTGCAGGTCCTCTGCAGAGCCCCGCTGGAGAGCAGGGCTGGGCTCTAAGTCCTGGAAAAGCCGAGAAGTCAGACACCTACAGAGAACTGCGTCCCTCCAGGTTATTTTTTTGACACAATATTTCTCTGCAATACCTTCATTTAACTGGAGACATCCTGTATTTTTCTGTGCAAATCCATGTGCACTAACACATCTCCATCACGCCCATGCTCAAATTCCAGTGCAGGTTACTTGCTGCTAGGCACTGTACGCTACTGTTTAGTATTTAGTCCAAAATTACCTGCATTTCTAATAGTTTAATGTAACAGAAACTTTTCTTCCCAGTGGAAAATTTCTTACATTCCCTCTGGAAGCACCCTCAGGTAGAGTCCTCAGCAGCTCGAGCCGCAGCTGACAGCCAGCGCACACCAGGCTGGGCAGCTGCCAGGCAGCAACGCGCAGGGAGAAGAATCCCGTGGCTGCTCATAAATCAGGCTGTCGGTTCCTTTAGTCCCGGTCCTGAATCAATACCTGTTTTGGGAGACGCCGGCAGGCCCATGACAGAGTTGTTTAAGTCCAGAAGAGGCTTTAATGCCCAGCGCCTGGCTTCCCACACCGCCTGCCAGCTCCCCGGTGCTCCTGCAGTGGTTTAGCTCCGAACCAGATCCCATCGCCCTAAGCTGGAGCCGATGCCATACCTTACGCCGTGCTGCCAGCGTGTGTTCAGTTTACACCAAGCTACTGATGTTTCCACACTCGCTAAAACTGCATTTATTGAAACCAGGAGACTTTTAGAAATCCAAAAGCAACAGCGTCAACAGAAGTGACTAAGCAGAAAGAGCCCCGTGGCTGCAGGCAGCAGCTATGTGCGGCATCCCAGCGTTTCAGCCTGACGCTCCGGCTGCCAACCGCTGCACACCAACACCGCCGAGGTTAAGTTACACCACCGAACAAAGCTTGCAGAAGTACAAGCTTCTACAGTATTTTTAAACAGCAGCCTCTTCAGCGAGCTGCACAGTGGTTGAGGTTTGTGCTGCCAGGGGACTGAGTCCAAAGCAGGAACAAAATGAGGACAGCCCAAGTCCCAGCTGAGGCTGCTGGAGAAGCCTGACCCGCAGCCAGTCCCTGCTCAGGCAGGTACGGGCTGTACCAGAGACCTACATTTGCTACAGATTAGGCTTGGATTTTCTTGGGTGTCTTTTGTGAGTCCAGGAGCTTCTAAAAACAGCTGGTGAGCCTGAACCCCCTCCTTCCAGGCTCCTCTCCTCCATACCCCACGCCGTGACTTCCATGGTTAGATGAACCGAGGTCAGGTAGGATTTCCAAGACTCTTCCTTCTGCCTACGTACGCAGCTGCAAGGCTTTGAATCTAGAAGATGAGTGCTGGATACTGCTGAAGTAACACGATCTCCTCACACAGACCTGCTCCCAGAGCTCTCCATATTATCTGCTTTCATCATGTTCTGTCTTGCTCCACGA